TCAGATGCTCCAGCATGGAGGACGTGCTCCCATGCTAAGGTCGACTTTACAAATAGCACAACTGACAACCTTTTTTTCTGAGTTTAGTGTGAAATGCTCCCACACTTTTTGTTCTTGAGGCTGCCATCGCGCTTTTGTTAACTATCCAGTAAGTGATAATGTCAAAGAATTCTGAGTGAGCTTGAGAAAGACGCGTAATGATGTCAACAGCTAATCGACTATTAAATTAGTTGCCAGTTTGTTGTGCATACCTTGGTCATAACCTTCATACTGGTATGACAAAAATGAGCACAAACAGCACGATGTACATACAAAACGCACTAAGGTTAACTCATTTAACTGAATGACCGTGTAAGGGATGTTTCAGCTGTCCCTCATCTCCCGCTGCAGAGTCAGTTGCAGTCTGAGGTAATGGTAGTTCAGTTTGTTATTATCAAGGGTGCAAACATATATGGAAGAAACGTTGGGTCTCTTACGATTATCCTCTAGCTTGACACAGACGCCATACCACTTGACGTGTTTCTGTTTCTCCTTACACATGTGGCACTGCCTCCTTCAGACAGCTGCATCAGGCAATGCCATGGTCTCTGGACCTGGTCCTCACAACAAGCAGCTTCTTATCTAATTCTGAAAACATGAATGACTTGTAATATTTACCAAATTCCACTAGTTTCTGCCAGCTGTAGATATAAGCATGTGTGAGTGTTATGTTGCCTATGTATGAGACGAACAAAACATTTAGCACCTTTTTTGCCAGGCCCAGACAGGCCACTGCATAGTAATTGGTGTCCCATTCTGTTTTTATTATTTTATAAAAAACAAAATGTGTCAAGAGTAAGTACGCAGTGGCAAAAAAGTTTAAATAACCGGTACCATGGTGTATACAGAAACTGCTCAAAATTGTTTGAAAGACGCAGCTCAAGCTCAAACATGAGAATGTGGAACAGTGTAATTTCGAAAGCTAGCAAATTTGGAAAATAATTGTGATCGGCTCAAGTATGAGAATATGTTGCAATTGTGACAGGTCTAACTGGACGTTAAGCTGGCCTCAGCAATCAGGATTTTGTTGCATGCTGGTTGGCTATCGTGCAGCATTTTGTATCAGACCAATGGGAAACACTCTTTTGCCTGCAGTTGCCTGCTGTATGTGCTGTGACAAAGAGCCTTTCATAGCGAGATTTTTTGCTGGATTGAATAAAGCTTTTAAAAATATTATCCATTATATATCATTTGAAGCATGTAGTAGCTGGTAAACAAGATATCCTCTCATGTTTGCTGGCACATACCACTTTAGTGTGTGCTGTTTTTTTATTGTTTTGTGTTTTTTCAGTGCTGTTTTAAAATCTATAACGCATACGTTGCACAGAAAATGTGGTCTGTGGTTGGTTGTTTTGTTTGTCAGTCAAATGGGCCTTTTCTGTCAAGGTAGGGGATTCTTCGCCAAAAAGTGCTAGACTCTCTGATGATACGACACAGAAATCTGGCTTATGAGTAGGGCTTTGTATTGGCAAGAACTTGGCAATACAATACGTATCATAAAACAGAAGTTACGATTCAGTATATTGCGATTCTGTAAGCAAGGCTGTACATTGCGATTTTTAAGTATAATTTTAGAAAAACTGTCATAGTATAAAAAAACACATGACCATATGCATAAAATCTTAAGTAAAAGACAAAGTCTACTTTTTATGCAATCAGAACAGGATATTTTGAGAGCCTAAATCACCTTATCAGGGTGTAAGTAGTAACATTAAGCTGGACAATATAATAGCCTGTACAACAGTTTTGAAGTAAAGTGGCATTAGCGTTAAAGACACAAATTACTACACTATAGTAGTGATATGGGCTTGCTCGCTCGATAGGTAGGACAAATTGTTAGAGCACCAGTCTAAGTGTTTTGGATTCGGCCGTCAGTGGTAGCGTTACTGCTCAGTTTGGTTTGCGAATACTAACGTTAGTCATGCGCCCTTACGCTACTTGGTTACATTGGAGTGTAAGAGTCTAATGGCTGAAGATAGATTGCAACACTGCCATCTAGCGGTGGGGGTTTAAACAAAACACAAAATGAATCACTGCGATTCTTTGCATGTAAACTATTCATTAAAAATCAATACTGTTTGAGAATCGATAGAGTATCGCAAAACATTAATATTGTGATACTCAAGTGTATCGCTATTTTCTTGCATCCCTACCTGTGAGGCTGTTCAAATTTAGAGCATTGCTTTGGATGCTTTATTATTATTTATTATTAGGTATTTATTAAGGCCTCTATTAAAGCCATAAGTAATTAATGGGGATGTCCTGATCCAATCTGATAGATATAGGTATAGGATCTTTTAATAGATCCATGTCGATGATGCATTTTAAAGGGTAAAGTTCAATCTTTACATTGGCTTGGGACTCAATACTCAATCTTAAAGGACTCTGATTAGTATTGGGGTAGTCTCTAGTAATAACTGAGACATTTCTAATTAGTAGGCTAATTAACAAGAAATTCAACTTATTGATACAGTGATAAACTAACAAGCTGTTGATTCTCAGTATCTTTAATATCTAGATGGCAAACTATCAAATTGAAATGACAGCATTTAGATAACGAAATATCACCTCCCAAAACTCCACAGAAATTGCAGTTACCAGTGTGTCAAACCTCAAGACCTAGCACAGGACTGACAACACAGAGATATAGATAGTCTCATCCTAGCTGCTAAATTTGCTTGTCTGGTGTGTATTTCTCGCTCCTCATCCGACGATGGTGTGAAATCAAAGCAGAGTGCTGACTACTGAGTGACTGTGTGTGTGAAAGCAGATGAGAGGAGCTTGGCTCTGCTGCTCTGCTCTGCTCTAGGCAGGGCTGCTGCCTCTCAGTGTGGAGGCCTGGGGAGAACTCTGATAATGAGACATGGCCTTGTGACCACTATACACTCATCGTTAGCAACAGGAGGAGGAGAAAGGACCCTGGAGTGGAAGGGCTGCAGTAATCAGGAGGATTTAATGACTTCTTTTCCCTTTTCACTCAGCAGTCACGTTCAGAACCTTTTTGAAGAATGGATGTATAATAATGCCTGCATGTTCTGAGTGTTATGTAGAGCTTTGGGGGTGCCGGGGGGTGGTGTTGGGATAAATGAGATGGTTTGGGCGTCTTGTATTTTTATAACACTAGTATGTATGAATATGCCACTTCTTTTTAAATACTGACTTTACACCACCAACACTGTGGTTTTTACTTTGCACAAAACAATAGCAAACATAGTGGTGGGAGATAGGAAAAATATGTAATATTGCAATATTTTAAGATGTTTTCACATTACATGATGGCACAAGTATTTATTTTTTCGGACATCTGATCAGTTGGAATAGAGAAAAAAACAGTAGTGCTGCATAGGGCTGTGATGGTATGGATATTTTTTCTTCTTACCGTGGTGAAAAAGCAACATATCTCTGTGGTTTGGAGGTTTAAGCACTATAAACACTTGCAATTAAAATCTAACTACGACTGTTTATGCGTCTGTGTTTTATATCTGTGTATTTTGTGTGTGTGTGTGTGTGTGTGTTCAGTTGAACGTTATCTGTAGATATTGCAAGTACTCAATCCTAGAAGTAATTAATGATAATCACTCCCACACAAAAGAAATCCCCCATATGTTTAATAGACTCTCCCTCCCCCTCGTGTGTGAAGCTGAAATGACCAGCAACTGAAATGTTTTGTTTCTCTAGAAGCCCTTGAACATAGGATGAAAGACAGTCGTGAAAGTCAGTGATAACTAAACAGTAATTACTGTGTTCATAAAAAAAAAATTGTGGTGATGATAGTAACGAGCTCAACCCTGCGATAGGCACCACATGACTGCGGTATTGCGGTAGTGCAGTTATCATCACAGCCCTAATGCTGCATTTTAAAAATACCATCAAAAACTGTGAATACAGTGATTCTCATTCGAAATTTGCCATACCTTGTTGCACTAAATCCAGTTAAACAGGACTAATTTTGCTCTCTTTATAATGAAACAGACATGGTCAGTGTTCTACAAGTACTGACCATAAGCACAGTATTTTTAGAAAAGCATATTGTATTGTATTGTATTGTATTGTATTGTATTGTATTGTATTGTATTGTGACATAGTTTATCACAGTAGCAATATATGTTGTCATATTGCCCAGCCCAAAGCAAACGTACATCTTTGTAGGTCTTTATATTGACCTGCTTGCTTTATCTTATTACGCTACAAGCAGTTTTCTACGGATGTCGGCCCAGTGCCAATGCTGTATCGGATAGGTGCCATCACTTTGCACAGATCTGTGTTGGTACAAATATTGTTGCTGTCCAAATAAAAGTCTCTTCATTTTTTCGTTTTTCTTTTTCTACATCATTTGAGCACAGCAGCTGCTCTTTACATTGTGTGAACTTTTCATGATGAATCGATCAATAGGAATGCTCCAGAATTTCTTGGAATAAAATCTCTTGAACTTCTTCATTGGTTTACAATAGAAATGCCATTGGCAATTTTTTTGACAGTAACAATATGTATATGTATGCCTAATTATATGTCCTAATTATCATGAATGTTCTCATTATCAGGTTACTTTGTACCTTATTTTTTACTCATTATTTGTGTACTACCAGGGATTCACAATGAGACTGGATTTTTAGTGGTATTGGCAGATATAGATCATTTGATTTGGCTGATATTGCAAATCAATATTTGATGACTTGTTCTGTTGTACTGTGCATCTGCAAAACATTTAGGCAATGCTGGGCTGCTGTGCATCTGGTCCGAGGTGAATCTAGTCCCAGTTTCTGCATTCTGTAAATGGTTTTGTATCCCTGTGTTATAGTGACGGTGTCAAAATGAATGTTTGTCAGTGCACAGCCATTTCACACACATGACTATTATTGAGATAAAAGGAATTTCTTCTTCTGCATAGAAGTGTTTCCTTGGTTAGCATTTATTCTTTGTTGCATTATTAAACATATTCTGCTTTTATCTCTCCTGTACAGGGTCTACCTACAGCGTCCTGTCCACTATGCCTTCAGATTCCGAGAGCAGCAGTTCCCTCAGCAGTGTTGGTATGTTGGAGGCTTATCACCTAGACTTTTCCCCATATGCAAACTGACACACTGATGCTTGGTTGTGTGTGTGTAAATATGCATGTCTGTGTCTGTTTATTTATCTTCACCTCCTCCAAATCACCAGTTTATTCTTGGCAAAATGAATGGTGGCGAAGTCCAGGCTGAAGCGTGTTGTGAGGCAGAACACAGTTTACTGGTTCAGTGCCAGAAGAAGAAAATGTGCACACTCATTGCTGTTCTGTGGATGCCTCCTCTCCAAATGACTCAGCACAAACCTCTGAAGGAGCCGGAAAGTTTTGCCAGAGACACCTACAATGGCCTGTGCCTGCATAAGTCTTGTGAGAGAAGCAGAGTGACAAGGCAGTGAGAAAAAGGGAACAGGGATGAAGCCTGCTGTACGACTTCCTTTAAGGACAGCTGCTCTTTGGTTCTCTCAGTGAACCACAGAGCCTTGATTCAGAAAATAATTGTCTAAGTTTATAGATTAAGTAGCGGTAACCTGTGCTTCTAATCGACCCATTAGGGCTGAATTATATGGATCAATTATACGGCTATTAGGGATGCGAGTTTTGGCTGATTCTTTTGACTGATAACCGATCATCATTAGTTGGTAATTATCAGCAAACCAAAAATCAATGACTGGCTGAGCCACGTTTGAAGCCATTGAGAAATGTACATTTCAGCTGACATCTGTATTAATGCACCAAGATATTAAAAAGCGTTTCTCATATGGGCTGTGGAGCGTAGTACTGATAGGTGTGGTCAGGCATCAGCATGTTTAAAAAGTAAACGGCCCGGAAAGCTAAAACAAACGATACGTAAGAACCTGGTTTTGTATAAACCAAGGAGCTGACAACTATAGTATGATCATGAAGATACAACCAAAAATTAAAACGTTGATTTATTACTATATATAATATATATATAATGATGACCTACTGAACGTTCTAAATTTATATTTACCGCTCGTTACTTTTACTCGAGTTAAAACAAACATGAATGCCATGACCAGGGCTAGCCTTGGCTCAGTGGACCTCAGTAGCTCTCGAAAGCTGTCACCTTCCACCACGTCCTTCTCTATCAATTTGCACACCCTTGTGTGATTTCCTCACACTGCCATGCATCACACTTTCTCTCAGAGAACATGGACAAAATAGTTGTCTGTTTTGAGCTACGCACTTCATTTTAAGTAGGTCTATTGAACGTAACTAGTCATCTGTTGAGCCTTCATATATTCTATTCAAATATGTTGTTGTTGATATAAATTGATAAAAAATGAAGATTTTCTTTTAACTAATAGCATTGGTTGAATAATTGCTTATTTGTCAGTTAACAGTTAATCAATCAGATAATTATTTATCTCCCAAGTGGTTACTGTTGTGAAGAGGGTAGCACACTTAGATTTGCTCACAACTAGGGATACATGATATCAGACGTTTATATACACACACACATACACACACACACACACACACACAAAACAGTTAGTTCTGGCCACGCAAGCTGATTGGTTGAGAAGTGTTCTAACTGTGATGTTATTTTGCCATAACATCACGGCTTTTTCATGAACACTGTATCACGTCGCTGAGACAACGTTGCTAAGCAACGGCTTTGGCAGCTGTAGGAGACGCTCAAGCCATTTGAACGTTTTACTTCTTACTTTGCCACAAACTGGAAAATGGATACTTTTAGGATTACATTTGACCTTCAACCGATTTGGTCAGACTCTGAAGATGAGACTACACTAAATTCCGAAACTGTCATCACCATTGAGCAAGCTTGTCAGTCGGCAGCTGTGACAGAAGAACACCTAAACAACCTGGAATTAGCCAGAAATGAACCGAATACCATTCGCCAAACAAAATGGGCTGTAAGATGCTTTACAGAGTGGCTGAAACAAAACAACTTTAATATTGATCTAGCAAAAATTGACAGAACTGAGCTAAAGGTGATTTTGTGGCAGTTTTATGGCTCAGTCCGTAAATCAAAAGGTGAGGCTTGCAGCATACTGTGCAGCGAGTTCATTACTCTGACGTAGCAACAAGCTGCTTGTTAAGGAACTATAATTAAGCGGAAGGAATTGCTAACATTTAAACATATTAAATGCCACGTTCACAGCCCAATTTATTAATTTCTTACTTATTTCATTTATTTAACTGTTGCATAAAAGCAATAGAACACTCGAGGTCGTGTTATTGCGAATACCATCACGGCTGTGATTTGGTTGCAGGCACGAGCTGAAGGCGATGACGTATTGGTTGTCTTTGGAAGAACAGAACTTTTATTTTGATGCTACATTTGTAATCCTGTACAAATAAGTGTTACATTTCTCTGTAATGCTAATGCGGATGGATCTAATCGAAATGTCCACATATTCTAAATGTTTGTGCAAGCATCGCCTGATATGAACATGAAAAATATCAGATATCTGCATCGGCTCACAACTCCCATATCATCACATTCCCTATTTTAGTGTGTTATTTTCTTTATATGTGTGTAGTTTTTTGTTTTGTAACCATGCTAATTTTACATGGAGGCAAATTAGTTGTTGTGGTACAGCAACATAGTCCAGCTCAGTAGTATGGCATTATTGAATAGAAAATCGCTTGGTGTAATTCTAAACAAAAAAAACTGTAGCAGGCTAATGTGAATAATTTACATGCATCAATTTACATGTATCAATAAAAACATACATTTTCTCTGTAGGTTAAGTGGGACGCTTGCTAACATTGTATAAAGCTTGTTTGACCTCATTGCTGAGAGCACGTATGTGTAGGCATAGTTAGAAATCTAACGTAAGATATTCAGTTCAGAGGCATTAAAAAAATGAATGCACAGAGCAGGTATTGCTGGGCCAACATTCTCTATGGGAGAGCACAATGTTGTTGGAAACATATCGGTATGGGCGTTTAATTTCTTTAAAAATTATCGACAGTTATCATTGACAGATGTTTAGATTTAGATTTGTATGTGGGCATCGGTACAGACGTACATTTTAAAAAACAACACAAATCCATTATTGGTGCATCCCTAATTCTTAAAGGTCCCTAGAAAGAGGGTGAAATAGTCTTTTATCAAATCTTGTGCTCTCTGCTCAGCTTTTATCTCTTATGGAGATTATTGTCATTGTTGCTACATTAATCTGAAATAATTCTCTGAATATTTGCAGCAGATTGTCATACCAGAGACCAGAAGATTAAAGAGGAATCTTAGTCTGATCTTTTTAAGGTCATCATTTACATAAAGTGTTCAGAATGTCTGCTGTTTGACCTATTTTTATATTTTTAATTATATGCATTTTTTCCTGAGGGTTATAGACCTAGTCATCCCTTAAAGGTTGGAATTTATTTTAGGTCTGGGTTTGTTGGTTGTCTAAGGCTTGTCAATGGTATACTGTTGAATTGCTCTCCCCCAATTCTAATCATCAGATCTCCCTGCTTTCATTGTCTGCCTCAGGATCTTTGCAGTGTGTCATAACCTTAATGTCTGTCAGTGGCAGCGTTTTTCTGTTCTTGTCTAAGAGGGCTCGGCTCTGCACTGTACACACTGGATTTACTAATTATCAAGCCATTCATTAGTGCAATAATTCAGACTGTATAATTCTCTAGGACTGAGGATTCTGATCTATGGTTTTGATCTTTTCCACTGGCTGTATTGGGCATTTTAACCATTTTAGCTATTTGAATATCTGCGGTTTTAAACGAATAGCATTCCCAACGAGAATACTAGGATTAACATTTGGTTGTTTCATGTAGCTAAGATAGGAAGTGAACTATACCTTATTGTTTGGCTGATTTATTATATTGTGTATAATTAAAATTGTATTTTAGGTTACGCTTAATTCAACATGTCACTAGCTGACCTACAGAACGATAACGGCAAGAATTGTCTTTTTTTTTTGTTTGAAATGTTTCTATATACAGCTTAACTGTAGGGAAGCACAATGATATTGGAATCATATCGATATCAGCAGATTGGCATCGTACAAACACTGTGCTACTGTGCTAAAATGTCTGCATTTTCTTTATTATACTGCATTTGTAACACTCTACAAATAGGCTTTACATTTCAGTTCCAGGTGAATTTAGTCCTAATATCTATATTTTAAAAATGTTTATGTATCGTTTGTGTCCTGACATTCTCTGTGGTTCTATGTTACACGCTCAGCCAAAACCTTATGTAAAAATTACAAAGCATTCTACGATTTATTTAATTTTTTGTTCACAACTGTACATTCCTTATTTAAATGCTCAAATAAGTAAAAGAGTACTGAGGTGGGGTTAAATATCCAGATAACCACACACATTCCTAGTGTGTACCGCAGTGTTAGTTCTTTGTGAAGGTGCCTTTGCCCCGGTGACTTGCTCACTGTTGCAGGTACCAAAGCCTCATCACCTCCACCTGCACTCAATGACAACCGGCCAGCCAGCGAGAACCTGGACACCATCCTGTTCCAGCTGAGACAGGTGACCAGGGAACGGGACGAGCTCCGAAAACGCCTTGCTCTCGCGTCTCCAGGCACCACCTTCGATGACTGCAGGTACTGTCCACACCCCTGCACTTATTGACACTATGGACTCTTAGCTGGGGAAAAACCTCAACATTGAGTTGGCAGCTCTTGTGACAAGTATCAGTTACTAAATATTAGCTTAGTTTATAGCATAATGCAGAAAAGATAATGTTGATCTGTTGATGTTAATCTTGGCAGTTTGGACTGAAGTTAAATTACCAAGTGGGATGCCACAGTTCAGTCATCAGCATTGAAGGTGTTCAATGAAAGGGTCCCATACCTTTTTATACTTCTTGATGGAACCTGTATTGATTCATTGTAATTTCGCCAAGTGTATGGAAGAAAGGAAGAAATAATCCTTTTTGCCAAACCAATGCCAAACATTAATGCCTGCTGTTGTCTATATGGTAAGAAAAGTGAGGTAACCGAGCAACCAATCAGAGCCAATACTGGGTCAGGAGAAATCTCTCTGTCGTACATCTTGGAAAACCAGTTAAATATGTTAGCCCAAAAAAGAAGACGTTTTGGGGCAGAACCAAAAGGTAGGACCCAAGGTTCCATCAAATGCTTTACGTCTGTCATGCAGTTTAGAAAAGGAAAGATAAATCTTACTTAGTTTCTCCTTGGAATAGTGTAATCTGTGGATAATCTTGAAGATTGTTGATCTTTATTTGCACTAATTAGGCACACTTGTTTTATACCATAAGTGATGCAGCATGGCCAGCGAAGTGGAACATTTTAGGAATTTGTTTTTAAATCGGTCACTGTTGTTCTGTATATGCATGCTGGCACGCTGCTTGCAAAATGCAGCAAAAACCAAACAGCTACTGTGCTTTGTCTGTGCTACTGCAGTGCTTGCCTGCATAAAAGGCTATATTGATTGACATGAGGCATATTACAAATATGACCTTGTATTGGATGCATTGTAAAAATATGCTGCATTTTGTGGGAAGACAAATTAGCAGACAGTTTTGCTGAATGTATATGCCTTTGGTGAGTTGCTGTAAATGTGCCTGTCTTTAACACTCTCCTGAATTCCTTTGGAAAAACAGTAAGGACCGCTGCATTGAAACATGCATTTTTCAGACTTTTGGACACACATTGAAATTATGTATTAGGATATGGAGAAGCCATCCCAGTTTCTTTTATCAGTGTTAACATTGAACCGCCCTTGCAGATGGAGATGGACACTGTGTTGATGTATTGCTCTTGTCTCCAAAAGGCCAAATTCCAAAGCTGGTCACGATTACGAGAGACTCAAGACGCAATGCATGAAGGCCATGGCGGACCTGCAGTCTCTGCAGAACCAGCACACCAAGACCTTGAAAAGATGTGAAGAGGCCGTGAAGGAAGCTGACTTCTACCAGTGAGTGTTATGCTGCTTGCTGCAGGCCATGCGCTTGCTGGGAGTCTGTGGGCTTTTCCCGCTGAGCAGGAGGAAGGGGAGGGCAGGTTGCCTTGCTCCGACACAGCGAGATGCGGGTGCTAAGAGCCATCTGCTATGTTTGTAGTAGAGGTTTTAATTAAAGCCGGAATACTCAGCAGTGTTATTAAAGCTCTGTTAAATGTCTGAAGACAGAAGATGAATGCAATGCTGTTAATTTGCCCAATGCCTTTTGGGTGTTCTCTAGTGACTTTTTTTCTCATAAAAATGTTGTGTAGCGAGTCAGATCCATAGCGTTTACGTTGCTGGGGAAAGTCTTATATTTTACACCAAATGGAAGGGCAGTATATGCTGTAATCTCAGTCATAAACATACTGTAGTTTGTGCATAATCCTGACATGTTCTCCTACGGACAGCCATATACACACAGATGTGCCAGCTACAGTAATTCTGGTTATTATCTAGTCATGTAAGGACACGAGGCCTCCTGTCAACATGCCTGCTTTGCTGGAATATGCACACAGAAGGGCGGGATGGGGGAGACGAAGATTATTATTTTCTGCAATTTTCCGTTCAACCTTTATGAGCAAGACCGGTGGGTTTTAAAGACTTGTAAATGAGGCATACATGCATCTCGTGACTCAAGAGGAGAGAAAGACTGTGCCTCAAAATAAGACGGTGTTGGTATAATGGCTACCAATTGTTATGATGATTAATCTGTAGTGAGTTTTTCAAAAAGGACTAAGTCAAAATGAACTTTGAATTTTTCACCACAGATGTATTGAGTGAGGAATGAAATATCGTTACTCCAGGACATTGTGCTACATTTAACACAGAAAAGCCTCAGACTATGTGTTAATTAGCATGTGTTAGTGTGTGTTAATTTCGTAAGTGAAAATCTCTTGTACCTTGTTCTAAAAAAGAGCCCTAGTAACATATCAAACTAAATAAAATTGTGTTTTTTTCTGTCTCAGCATGCTGCACAGTCGTCTACTGAGTGATCAGTCTCAGCTGAAGGAGGAGATGGAGGTGATGAGGAGAGATAACGCTCAGCTTGTGAGAGAGCACAACCATCTGAAACAGAGCTGTGAAGAACTCAAGAGACTCCACTCAGAGGACCAGAAAGAGGTGGCTGATATGAGACTGCAGCAACAACAGGTACAGCTGTAACAAACTACACATGTCCAGTGATACAAAGTGTACTTCAGGGAAAATGATGGCACTGTTAAATCAAGAAAAAAAAGTGTGAATAGAAAAAATGCTGATTACTGTTGTCATTTAAAATAAGAGGTTTGGATGTAAAATGTTTGGTTGTAAGGAAATGTGAAACAAGTCTCCATGAATAAAATTAAGTTATTCAGTTTTTGGCCATATTTGACTGTGAGAAACCATTTGAGTCGAAAGCCAGGAAAAAAAGGAACCAGTGACATCTTTCATCATGTATCAGATGAAGAGATTTAGTGCGGTGGCATAACATGGCCAGTCTGTCCATGGTCACCCACTAGCTCAGCCCCTCTAAACACACACACACACACACACACACACTTCAGCAACACAGTTTGGCATGTCAACTCAGAGTAAAGACTAAAGAAAGTTTGTTAATTCCACAGAAAATGTAAAATTTCACTGCTAAACTAGTGACTTGCAGTAGAGGGAGGGCGCATGGCCATGTTAGTGCAATGCCTATATGGACACACCCCCACTAACTGAAGCTATGCAGAGGAACTCTGGATTTTTGTTCCAGTTGTTCAGCAGCTGGAAAATAGATCAGAATTATTTAACAGCGTGACTGGTCCCCTACATGTTTAGTTTAGAGATGGCCATTCTGACCATGGTGGTACAGACACATTCCTCTTCTTCCCCTGACCTAGGAAGTGAATTATTTAAGTTATCATGTGTCCTCATGATGCAGTTCTTGCATGCTTTTGTTTTTTTGCACCACACCTTTTTTTTCTTTGCATAAGCATGCAAATATTAAGCAAATTAGGATCTTAATCGGACCGTGTGATTGAGGGCCATTTAGTTTGTGGACATGCAGCTCTTTGGTGTTGGTTGCTGAGTGAAACATCAAAGCCTTTTTATTTTCATTTTATTTTGTCAGGTATTTGTATAGGTTGCTTTTACCCAAACATGCATGAGACACTTATAAATGTCTTCTGTTATTGGCTTTAAAATAAGAGAAAAATGTTTTTATATCCAGTGTAAGAGTCTTTGGGAATATCAAAAAGCATCTGCAAAAAGCTGTAGTTTGATTGCACTGGTGCTTTATTAAACATTGATCTATGAAATAAGATATTTTCAAAAAAGCCATGGAAACCACCAAGGAATGCAAATCATTTATCTTCACTTTGTCTTTTATGGATTAGTGAATGTAAATTCATTATGAATGTGTGTAGTACATCCCTGGCCAAATGTCCTGCTGAAACATGCCCATGTGCAATGGCTTTTCTGTTTTTTTTTTTTTCTCTCTGGATTCACCCAGCCTGTGGCACTGCGGGCAGACCTGAACACCAGCCTTCTCACCTGACCTTGACATGCAGTGAATCATAAGCTGTTGAGCCTGGAGATTATTTGATCAGATGTAACTGTGTCAACACGAACACGTCTCGCTACACCAGTCATATTGGGCCCCTGTCACAAGAACTCTCGTTTCATTTTTTTTTCCCCCTTGCTGTCTGATTTATCAGACTTCCTCCTAGATTAAATCCCTGAAACATTCGACTGTCGGCAGGGCGTCTTTTGCAGAGGTCTTTATCCTGCAGTGAAGCATTAACAGGAGATTCACAGTATCAGCAGTAGCGCGCAGAGCTGCTGTGTGTGCACGGCCTGTGCCGTTTGTGTGATGGCAGCAGCAGAACTTTGGAGAGGGACTAAAGGGGGCTTTTGACCTGTCAGCAGTGCTTACCCTGCCCTGTTTCCCTCAGGAGCCTCAGCACACGCGTCACTCACTGTGAAAAGGGCAGCCTGGAAGGGCAAGTGCTGTTTGACTGATGGGAGCAGACTCCAAGACTCTTACAGTTAGTCAATACTGTAAGCACGATTACATGGCCTTAGGGATAGTCCGATCCAGTTGCAGCGAATCAGAACAAGAGTGGCCGCTTCAGATTGACCTGAGGCACAATGTGACGTCTTCTTTTTTCAAACACAAAAAGGCCTCTTTAAGCACTTGGCTTTAAATTTGCGTTCACATAAAATGTTGCTCCTTTATGATTATTACTGCAAAAGGTGTTCAGTGCAGTTCAGAGATGTGAATTCATTTGCTCAGTATATTGATAGATTTTCTGAAAGTATTGATATTCCCATGGGATAATCACTCATTTCATTTTGATTGATCATTATTAACATGAAATGAATTACAAAATCAATTGCTGTAGTGCTGGTGCTGTGGAGTCACTGTGCTCTTTTTTGATGCATGGTTGCCCTCTGGTGTTTGTATTATGTAATTTATTTTGGCTTTTGAGCTAAAAAGAAATTTTATGCTTATTTATTTGAGGTGTTGAGCGATTGTTGTGTTTCCTGCTTAGGTTATTAGAGAGAATGGATCATCAGAGGTTCTGAAGCTGTATGACACAGCCATGGATAAGCTGGAGGGGCTGAAGAAAGAGTACGACAGCTTGAGCAAACGGTATAGCGAAAAGGTAGCCAATCACAACACGGACCTGAGTCGACTGGAGCACGCGGAGGAGGAGAACAGGCGGCTGCAGAAACAGCTTGAAACTTTGATAAAGCAGAGAGACACGGCCATCCACTATCAGCAACAGTACTCCGCCTCAATTCGGAGGTAAGCAGTGGTAACTATAGTTGCACATACATGTGAGTTTGAAATCTAATATGTGCTGGCCATTACAGTGCTTTGCCATTGTTTATGTTTACAATAATATAACTGAATATAGAGACTGAAATCTCAGTTTTGTCTGGCAGCTGAAACCTCAATACCTCAATCTAACAGATACCTATAACAAAAAAAAGTAAGTTAAGAGTAAAAAAGTTACAGTCTGTCACCAAACATAAGCAGTGAGCTTAGCACATTATGTTCGGAGCTCTGACCACTGTGTCTGTGTACCATTTCAGGTTTGATTCTGTTCAGCAGGAGCTGAATAAGGCCTCTTCTCAGAATAAGGAGCTGCAGAGAGAGATGGAGAGGCTGCAGTCGGAGGTGACACGCTATAAGAACTTCCAGCTGAAGGCAGTGAAGGATGCTGAGAAGTACAAAGAGGAGCGGGACTCTGTGTTTAACGAGTACAGGCTGATCATGAGCGAAAGGGACCAGGTGATCAAAGAGGTGGACAAGCTGCAGACAGAGCTGGAAGCAGCCGAGGCTCGACTGAAAAACACCTCATCGGAGAGGATGGTGGCCAGCGAAGAGTTAGAAGCACTCAGACAGGTAACAGTGAGGAGAGGTCTAGGGACTTGTATGTAGTTTCTAATGAGAAATATCTGTAGGTTGTAGTTGCTCTCCTTTAGATCTTAGTAAAAGGCAGATGTGAAAAGTCAGGCTAGATGCTCTTGGCTTTTTAATGTGGTATGTACTGTAAGGTCTTTGATTAGAAGCCCACAAGCTGTACTGATATGTAAAATAAGATTATGACTTTACAAGCCCTGGTGTAAAATAGCAAAAATACTTGTAGATCTGTTGTATAAATGATATGCCTACATGACAACAACAGCAGCAACAACAACAACTACAGAGCATATCTCGTACAAGCAGCAGCTCAAAGTGCTTTATAGAAAAGTGATGAAGTAACAGTAATAAAAGAAAAAAACAAATAAATGACAGCGAAGAGTATTCATTAAAATAGACAATAACAGATAATATTAAAAAGGTAGTGTAAAAAGAAAGGTAGAATCTAAATTAAAAGCTGCATTAAAGAGATACATTTTCAAATGTTTCTTAAAAGTGCTTGACTGCCTAATAAAAGGTGGAACTGAGCTCTACAGTTTAAAACATAATAACAGAAAGAGCCCTTTTCACTTTTTCAGTTATTTATTGGGAGGCTATTTGCAGAAGGCCAATGCCTGCAGATCTAAGATGGAACATAAACAGACAGACATTATGAAATTGAAATTAGCATTTGGGAAATAACTCAAGCGAGATAACCTGCATGTATTTTCTTGCTTTGTATTATTATAATACTGTAAGGTCTTTGATGATAAAAGTCTTGATATGACTTGCCAGGCCGATGAGTAAAATCCCAAGCATATATATTCATCAGGGTATGATGTGACATTTACTGACAGTATTGTGCTTTACAGGAGCTTAATTCATCGCTGGTGGATCGAGACAGAGCCATCTGTGAGCGGAACGAGCTGCTGGAGAAATACTGCCATGAAGTGAAGGACAAAGCGGAGGCGCAGAAAGAGCTGAGTCAGGCCTGTAAAGACATCGAGACTGTGCGCGAGGAGCGAGATGTGGCCAGGAAAGAGAGAACTGAAGCCATCATCCAGAGGGACCAGCTACTGCGGGAGTACTACCAAGCCAGACAGGTACTCGCAGAGCTGAACTGAAGTATATGAATACTGAAATTATTTTGCATTTGAGATGTTATTTGTCTTGCCTGAATGCCTTCAAACTTGGATGTTGCATGTGTGTCATAAGCATTTAATACTTATTATATAATACTAAATATATTAATAATAATAAGTGCCTCCTTAATAGTTACTAAATTAAGACACTGTTTGAAGTATTAAAGAATATTGCATATCTTATGCATTCGTTCTGACTTGTGTAATTGCTAACTTCCTATAGGGCATTTGGACCCTTTTTGGCTTTTCATTGTTTTTGGGTTTTATACAGTAGTGCTTTGCGTAATAATGCAGAGGGAAATGAGGGCAACAGGGCTAATGTAGCTTGCTGTCAGCAATGATAAAGAGACAGCTCTGTTTCTCGTGCTCCTCTCATATCTCCTCTCAGATGAAACTTTTAGCAGCCCTCTTTCTGTCTTCCACCATGCAGAAGTGCCTTGTACTTTCAGCGATGCCTGTTCCAGACATTGCTGAATAATGCAAAATTAAATTGCTCAGCTTTGCACTCCATTGAGTTCGTCTCAGATAACCTTGTTTTCAAGTTATTTGAGCCAGAATTATGAATTGTGTTCTAAGTTTTATAGTTTTCTTTAAGAGAGATTTCTGCTGTTTATCTGTTATGACCTTCGTAAGTATTTACTTCTTTGCTTCTATGTGAAATGCTTGAAGAGCTTTTTGAATACTTGAGATTTCTGGTTGGTTACGCTCTCATCTCTCTCCTTGTTCTTTCTTGACTTTTCACCATAGCATATTGTTCATATGAAGAAATACATACTTAATTACACAGTATCCCTCCCTAGAATCTGATGCTAGCGACTGGATTATTTTCATAGCAGAATTCTTCTGCATCTGTAGTGCATTATTCAGTTCTACTGCCAAAAAAGGGCCAACATTTTTCATTCAGCTCCACCAGAGGGCGCTGTAGCTGTTCTGTTTAGATTCTGAGCTTAGCCATGTGGATGGGCTTTAGTCTGAGGAACCCTAAGGGTTCTAACCACTCTCAATATCCAAGGTGTTGTACATGTCTAATGAAGAATAGCACTAATCAGAGGAACAAGATAATTATAAATGTTTCACTTACATGATGGCATCAGCTTTTCTGACCTGCAGTGTTGTTTCTATTGTGTGTACTTGACATGAATAGAAACAAGACACAGCCACTCTGGACATGGAGCGTGCCAATAAGGAGATCGAGGTGTTGAGGAAGCAGTGTGAGGCTATGTCTCAGGAGCTGAAGGAGGCCATGCAGGAGGCTGAGGTTGCAAAGTGCCGCCGGGACTGGGCCTTCCAGGAAAGAGACAAGATCGTGGCAGAAAGAGAAAGCATCCGGTACAGTCACATTATGTCAATGGAGCGAGCCCAGAGCCACAAATTCCGCATGATTAAATGGCAATTCCACTAATTTTTCAATAATTCTGCATAACTCAGTTAGTGAGTCATTCAGAGTGGTTTAATGTGAAAAGGTTCATTGTAGAGAGACGTACAGACTTTGATTTCTTTACAGTGGTGGCGATGGGAACCAGGGGTCACAATGTCCACAGCAGAAATATGGCTATTTTATGTCCCAAACCACCAGTTAACCTACATGTCTGCTGAGTTGTTGTATGTGATGTTGATGATAAAAAAATTGTTTTCTTTGGAGACTGTTTTGCCTTACAATGCCCTGCATGTAAAAGCATTTAAAAAAAAAAAAAAACACATTTTGGGTCAAAACCTTCTCAACACTATAATAATAAAAGTCTCAGGCATCTAGTTGTGTATTTATAATTTCCTGTGGTAGGTTTCTGTGGTGGAACTTTCAGAGGCATTTAACTCACTTGGTTCCCTATCTACACTGATTAATTCTGACTCTGCAGGTTTCAGAGCATTTCACCTCAAACTACTCTACTGATGACTTTGTTTATATTGTAAACAAAATTCCCTTTAATGAACGTTTTCTCTAACTGAATTCTTAACTACGAAATGCCTTACTGAAATGAAGACAGTCGTGTACGTTTTTATTAGTTAGTATAGCTTTAGGAGATTTTCCTGTAGGGTCTTTTCAGTGTTGTTTTCTTGTGCTGTGTGGCAGAACCCTGTGTGATAACCTGCGCAGAGAAAGGGACCGTGCAGTTAGCGACCTGGCGGACGCCCTGCGCAACCTGGACGACATGAGAAAACAGAAGAATGATGCTGCTCGGGAGCTGAAGGAGCTAAAGTGAGCATTTTTTGCTTTATTTCTGCCTTTCTACGTTCTTCTCTTTCTGGCTCTTTCTCCCTCCCTCATGCCCATACTCATGAAACGTGGACTCCTGAAATAGACATGTGCTGTCTGTCGGCCACTGCTCCATTGCCTCAAGCTCCCTCTAGTGGCTAGTTAATGCATGCCAGCTATTCAAGGCCTCTCCTTCTCCTTAAAAAATAATAAAGAACTACTTGAAAGACTTTTCCAGACTTTTTAAAGTCAGTGAAGCCCTCCAGGCTTTTCTCTCACTGAGCCCATGTATCTTAGTGACAGTTTGCCAGAATTCCCATACTACTTGATCCTGTTCTTTTCACCTACTTTGGAGGTGTGACCTTGATGCTGCTTTTATCACTTTTCTTGCTGGAATGTATTTATTCCCTAAGCATCTTATAAAACATTTAAATAGTCAACATACATACTCAGGATATATGATTCCGGCCGTCTCTTGGATACATGTTCCACTTCTCACGATCAAGAAAATGTAAAAGGGTTTTCCAGACATATAGGTTTCTTCGCTTCCCTTTTTCATCTCTGGAGTCCGCTGAGAGAGGAAACAAGCTGAATGATGCGTGTCACTGTGTCTGCACAGAGTTGAAATGTGTTGGGTTGTGCTCTGTGGGGGCTATAGGGAGAAGATGGAGAGCCAGCTGGAGAAGGAGGCACGTTTCTGCCAGTTGATAGCACACAGCTCGCATGATTCAGCCATAGACACAGACTCGCTGGAGTGGGAGACTGAAGTGGTGGAGTTTGAGAAGGACAGGGTGAGTCTCTCACTTTACACCACATTGTCTCTGGGCTCAGGTGTGTGAAAGGTGAGAAAAGAACACTTAATTCCTCTCTTTTGTTTGTATCTTGTCTCTCAAGGCTTTATGTGGGCACACATGATGAATTTCTAACGATGATGTGTGTGTGCAATATGGCATACATAAAATATTGATATTTTTCAAGATATACCATACATAATATAATATTTCAACATTCTGGGATTTGATAAATTGGAACAGACACAAGGCACCAGTAGTGCCACATGTAAAAATACTATCGTAGACTATATACACAATGAATCAAGTAGGCGAAACCTTAGACAGCTATGCAAGCTGCCAGTGAATCCCTTTTTAATGAAAGATGAAGTTTTTCCAGTATTCTTTAAAGGGAAATTCCACTGAAAAACTTGCCTAATTAAATGGTTAGGATGTAAACAAAGTCCCTCAGAGTGTTTCATTAAAAGAGGTTCTGTGGCAGCTTGCATAGCTGTCTAAGCCTAGTTGATTCATAGTTGTTCATAGTTTGCGACAGTATATATATATATGTGTATATATATATATATATGTATATATAATACATGTGCCACTAATGGTGCCTTGTGTCTGTTCCAACTTATTTCAACTTTTTGGGAATTGATATCATAATATGTGCGGTATATTGTAAAATGGGAGTTGGTATAGCATATTTGTATTTTTGCCATATTGCACTCACACAGATGTGAATTGCTCTAGACAGAAATGACCATGTCCAAATTGTTCGCAACATTAGTGGGGATAACCTGATGTCCAAAGAGTTTAATGGCTCTGAAAGCTACCTCATAGAAGGCTCCTATAAGAAATGGTTACAAATACACTTCCCCATGCCACAGACATTGTTTAATGACAGTTGTGGTATATAGTTTTGGCCTCACATGCATTTTTGAAGTACATTCATGGCAGAGGGGAACATGCAGGGCAGGAAAAATAGTCCACAAATAAAACTTAAATAAAACTAAAACCCAGATTTACCACTGTTTTACAATTATTTATATTACATGAAAACGCAAATGGCTATATTTGCTTTGTTTACATCACAACCCCTGGTTCTCATCACACCACTGTAGAGAAACCTGAGTCAGTGTGTTAATCTACATAGAACAGTGACTTTGTTTACATCCCAACAGTTGAACTAGGCAGAGATTTTGAAAAATTGATAGAATTCCGCTTTAGGTATTGGTGATATTCATGATATGGAAGAGTTTATTGTCACTGTAGTTAAATCATTGTGGTGGTATCAAGTAGAGATGCATCAAAATTTAATTGGATTTTTTTTGGACAAAGGGGGGAAAAAAAGCATTTTTGGACAAAATATATATATATATATATATATATATATATATATATATATATATATATATATATATATGTATGTATATATGTAAAGATTAACTAGGTCTACAACAAAGTTGTAAATCTATCACTTTTTAAATAATTTCAGTGCTATTGAAAATGAGAAATAGTGATTAAAAACACTGTTTGTTTGCTTTGTTCTCTTGTGCCTGTTTTGAATTTTGATTGGGCAAGAATTTTCATTTCGGTCCATCAGTAACATCATATCACATCACATCTCTAACAGCTACTGTGATTTCTTTCCTTTTTTTACCATGCAGGATGACATGGATTTGAAGGCACTGGGGTTTGATATCGCAGAGGGGGTAAATGATCCATATTTACCCGGGGATTGTGGGATTTTTGTGACCAGAGTGGACAAAGGAAGTATCGCGGACGGAAGATTAAGGTAGTTCTGGATATTAAGTACTTTCTCAACAACGGCCCAGGGAATCAGTACCTGCTCATTTCACTGCCCATTGCTTTGGTCTAACCATCTGTGCCTTTCTCCTTGCAGAGTGAATGACTGGCTGCTGAAGATAAATGACATAGACCTGACTAACAAAGACAGGAAGCAGGTCATCAAAGCCGTGCTTAATGGAGGAGGTGTGATCAATATGGTGGTGCGCAGGAGAAAGTCTTTAGGTGGAAGACTAGTTACTCCTGTCCACATTAATCTCATTGGACACAAAGGTATGACTTCCGCCTGTTTCTCAGGCTGGGAAAGTTTAGTTTAACACAAAGCAAAATGAGGCTGATTATGTATTGCTGCTCTTGCTGTCTTATCAATAATTCCTGGTCCATATGGATGGTCTCTTTCAGACAGCGGCATTGGTCTGGAGGGTGGAGTTTATGTGACGGCTATAGCAGCAGGCAGCCCAGCCGCCAGAGAGGGCACTCTTACCATTGGAGATCGCCTCATAGCTGTGAGTCTGCAAGCAGTCATACAATCCTTTAAGAAATTAAACCATGGAGCTTGCTCTTTGATTTATACTGGGGAGTTGAATTGCTCTTCATAATTCCCTGACCTTAGCCCTAATCATGATCTCTCGACTTAAGCAGATTCTTAATCCCGCTACTTATCTTAAACTCGTGAGCGTAATTATACCTACTGTCATTCAAATCCTCCACTTCACCTTAAATAGCGATAGTTAAGTAAGGTCATATGCAAAATGATGGCCCTGACTGTAGTGATTTGTAATGCTAAGATGAGATGGGTTTTGTAGCCTCTGATATCAAGACTGGATCTTCTTCTTGTCGCTGCTCTGACATATATGCATTTTAACTAGGTTATAATTTACACAACTTGCACTTCTAATTTTATGTAAAAATACTTGATCTTTACTTACAAACCCGGTTCCAAAAAGAAATGTTGGGACGGTATGTGAAATGCTAATAAAAATAGAAAGCAGTGATTAGTAAATTCTGTTTAACCTGTAGTACATTGAAAATGGTACAAAAACACAATAATTTATGTTTTACCTTACAAGCTTAATTGTTTTTGGTGAATATGCCTTCATTCTAAATTTGATGCCTGAAACATGTTCCAAAAAAGTTGGGACAGGAGCATGTTTACCACTGTGACAGATCACCTTTTTTAACAGCATTTAATAATCACTTGGTAATGGTAAAAAATTATATATCTTATCTTTGTACTGTTTTCGATCAAATATTTGACAAAGCAGATTTATAAAACAGTGCTTTTATTTGTATTTTACCTACTGTCCCAACTTTTTTGGAATTGGGCTTATAAATGTAAAAAAAGTAAAATTGTGCATGAGACATTTATAATGCACACTGCTTTGTATTTGACGTTTCTCATATTTTAGTGTTGAGTCTGAATGTCGCATGTCAGAGAGTTTATCTTAATGCAGGATGTTAAGGGTGCACTGTCTTTAACCACCTTTTCAGCAAGACCGAGATGTGCATATATTAGTACTCCTGTACCACGAATCGTCACATGCATAATGTGACGGAAATAGAAGGACTGAAAACTCTGCTTATGCCTTTTCTTTGGTGAAGTGCTGACCTACATTTCCCCTTCCCAGATAAATGCAATCGCTGTGGATAACAAATCTGTGACGGAATGTGAGGCTCTGCTGAGGGGCTGTAGGGATTCGCTCAGCCTCTCCCTCATGAAGGTGAGAGTCTCTTGCTGCTGTGTGTGCGTGCGCCATGCTCTCATTTCTAAATGTGGAGATCCTCTTCTCACTTTATGTACAACTCATTTGTGACAGCTCTGTCTGAACTGAAACACAAGCTTTGATGTATTAAAGAGTAGTTGCTTCAACCGCAGGCTTTTGTAATCCCAGGCAGTTGGCTGGTCTGGATGGTGTCATTTGAAACATCTCACATTTCTCAGAACTGCAGAAACTTTTTTTTTCTGTCAGAGTTGCCAACTATTGAGTTCCTGAAAAGCGACATCTAGTGATCTAAATCCGTCTCCTGGCTAGTTCTTTCCCCAGAGTACATCAGGCCAGAACATCTTTGAGAACCTGAGGGAGGCTGAGAAGTCCAACTGCAGAACGCTCATGTCTGAGGTTCACTCTCGCAACAGCAGGAACCTCAAACACAACAGCTCGACACAGACGGACATCTACAGTAGCGAGGCTGGAGGAGAGAGGAGGAAGGCCAGAGCCGAGTCTGAGGAAGGCGGATTCTCTGAGAGGAAGTCACCTTTCCCCAGCTCCACCCTGCATCCCAGCAGCCTGCGGCCGGCCTCAGAGCTGGGGGGGCCGCTACAGCGGCAGCGCCTTCCAGGTAGGATAGGGACTTTAGGTAGGGGCTTTAAATTCAGCCTTCAAAAGCAGAGTGGACACCACAATGTCAACATTATTTTTTTTTTTCCTTCATCAAACCAGTGTTCCAGTTTACCTTAACACCAATATTGGTGCATTGTCAGAAAAGAATAAAAAAGAATAAACAAATGCAATTTTTGTCATTAAAACAGATGGATAAACTACACATTAGGGTTGGCCCAAATAGCTTTAAACAGGCTTTGAATACTCATTGATATTTCCAAACTGAACGGTTGTGCCTCCTTTTTAGTATGTCAGTCCACGCCAGCTGCGCTCTATGTGTGCCTTACATCCTGTATCAAGCCTATATATGTGCGAGTGAAGCATAAACTCCATACAGATCCAGTTAAATCACACACTCTGACTTTCTATAGTGGTCTAAATTATATTTAAAAATAATTTACGAAAATGTGATGATCTTGGTGGTGTAGCATTTGCAGAGCAGCTCCTGCTCTGTACTAACAATATGTGGAGGTAAAAACTTGCTGATTGTGATTTTATCGCAATAAATAGATCTGCTCTTTGTGGTGTTAAGGTTTAAACCTGTTGTAATACTGTCAGAATTCTTATTGTGAATTTTTTTTTTCTTTTTCGTCTGACAAATGCTCCCATGCATGATTTTTATTGTGACTTTTTTGTTAGGCATTGTTGCTCTTCAAATCAAACTGTAACATACATACATACATACATCATCTAAACCGCTTATCCTTCTGGGTCGCGGTGGGGTGCTGGAGCCTATCCCAGCTGTCATTGGGCGGAAGGCAGGATACACCCTGGACAGGTCGCCAGTCCATCACAGGGCAGACAGACAGACATACACAGTCACACACACACTCACACCTAGGGGCAATTCAGCACGTCCAATTGGCCTGACTGCATGTTTTTGGACTGTGGGAGGAAACCGGAGTACCCGGAGGAAACCCACGCAGACACGGGGAGAACAGGCAAACTCCACACAGAAATGACCCTGGTCAAACTGTAACGTTAAACTCTAAAAGACAAATCGCAAATTGCAGTTTTTAAAAAAATCATTACATTCCTACTTCCAGGAGGTCTGCTACACCCGCGCCGAGTCCACCGGGCCTGATTGCGTTGCCCTGGAGATGGCGGCAGATAAGAAGCACAGCGGTGGCACCTGGCCCAAGATGGTGGTGGGAGTCGCCATGACGACAGACAGTCCAGCTCAGCTCTCCATCTACAAATCGCCCAAACAGAGGAAGCCCATCTTTGACACAGATACCTTCAAGAGGCCAGACACACCTTCCAAGACAGAGTACTTGGCTGGGCACTCGCCACAACCCTCCAAGACAGACAGTAGTGCTGCGCCCCCAACCCCTCCTACCCGGAGTGACTCCTTCAAGTTTAAGCCCAAGCAGCAGAGCGGCTCGGCCTCGGATTCTACCATCACTGAGCCCAAACGGGAGGACCGCAACGGGAACCTGTACTTCACAGAAGGAAAAACTCTGAGCTCCAGGAAGTCCTGTGAAGAGGACATCGGGCGTGTGCGGGTGGAGGAGCCTGAGATGAAGCGGCCAAGGCCTAAATCAGCCCCAGCTCTCAGACGCAGGATGACTCCTCAGTCCATCCCCCTCCAGAGTTTTCAGGTGAGTTTTTGAGGGCTGCTGGGCTCACACTGAAATGCTGGCCACTGGAGCTCTACATGTACATATGTTAAATTAGTGATTCAGCATGTCTTGAACTCTCATTACCATGTTTTGAAAATGGTATTACTGTTTACTTCAGAATTATTTTTCAGAATTCAAATAGGGAATACCCCTGTGGCTCTTAAGGCCTGCAGCCACCTAAGCATTTACCCTGTGGGCAGGAAAACAAGGGAATTTGATCTCCGGCAGTACAGCAGCCATCTGGGTCTGGGATGCTGTGAGCAAATTGGCCAGTAACAGATGTTCATGATTAGATGTTCCTGTGCATAATTGGACTAGTTAAGGAAATCACATTATACAACAAACGTACATTTTTGGTCAAAAATAATGCACATCAATTTCTAACCACATCTAGATGTACCTGTGTGATTTATACTTTTTCACAGACGCCATAAAATGCAAAGCCTGTTTAGAGACCCTTCACTTTCAGAATTTTAGTGTTTTTAATGTAGTTTTAAATTAAATATTTTATTGGATTATATTTAAAAATATCTGATAAGTTGATTTCCACTCCGCTGGCAGGATGATGACTAGTAGGACTGCAGAAAGTGGTTAATGCATCAATATATGTATTGTATTGAGTTGTATTGCAGCGTATCATCTTGGATCATTGTATCGTGACTCTCCTGTTAGATTGTGGCTTGGGTGTTAGTTTGGGGCTAACAAATTAGCATGTAGCTAGCATTTGATTGTGACAAAATAAGGCACAATTATTTCAAAAATTGCACTTACAAAATGTTGAATTAAACTCCAAAAGGAAATATTAGCATATCGCAGCAGGCACATTTTCATGAATCAGAATATGTAGCATTACAATGGCAATATGGTGAACCACCCCCCCCCCCATATTATTTAGCCCTACTGCCCACTTTAATTAGCATCTCAGTCTGAGGTTGAGTTCTCTCTGCACCGTGCTGGGCGGGGAGGGAGCAGAGAGCTTAATCCAGAAATGCTGAGGCATGCCTCCCGATGATATGCGGGATATTACGTAACATTATGTAATAGACATTATTGATTTATATATTGAGATTCGTGATGATCTGAAGTACTAGGAATTGTTTTGATTTTTTTTTTTTGTTCTTTTTCCTTTTACTTGCCAAGTTTATAATTCATGTAATTCATTTCTGTGTGCATGTTTGTGTGTGCTGAACAGAGCTACTCTAATGATGGGGACTGTTTAGAGCAGCGGGAGGTGTTGCGCTCGTCTCCTAGCCGACCTCACAGGCACAGCGTGGGTTTCGTTCCTACAGTCTATAACGGAACTCTGCCACCCAGTGAGTTACACACCTTGTTCTAATGAAGTGCCTGCCAACTCCAGAGCTCCTCTGAATTGATCTCAACTTTGCCCCAAGCTCTACCTCTGCTTTTTATTCTATGTGATGTACTTTATCAGTGCACTGTAGGAGATGATGTGTATCACATGGATGATGTGATCTTGAATGTTTGGCTGTACTGAAAATTCAGAAAGATTAAATTTATGCAAATCATGTTAGCAGTGTTTTTATTGGTTCATCTTCTTTTTCTCCCCTCAATCTATTTTTTTCCCTTTTAATTCAAACTCATTTTAATGGTAACACTTTATTTGGACAGCCTACTGTAAATGCTTTGTAGATACTCATCTTGCATTTAACGTACATTCTACTAATTATCTATTAAATTTATCCTAATTTACCCTAACCCTAGACCTTGACCTAACCCTAACCCTGGTACTAATCCTAAGGCTAACCCTAACACTGTTTAGGATCAACTGACTTTCAACAGATAGTTAATTAATAAACAAATGGTAGATTAATAAATTGACCATCTGAAGATAATCTATTGGGCTATTCAGGTAAAGTTGAAATCATTTTATTTTATTAATTTAATTACTTAAAACAAGAAGAGAGAAGATTTGAGGACCATAGTTTTATTGTAAACTCAGTTCTTTACAAAACCGTTTTAGTTCAAAGTCACATCGTTTTAAGGCTTCCATTTTTTGGGTCACGACTGAAGATTTGAGGGCTGTAGTTTTATCTGTGGTTTTATGTTAAGGCTGGATCTCCACGGAGGGTGCCACCCATTGCCTCTGGTGACATATGCGCATACAGTATGCATGGGGTTTGTGTGATAATTAAATCTATTTTTACCTGATTTGAATATTCATCATTTGGCTGGGGAAGCTGATTTCCGAGTCTCCCCGCTGTCTGCTCATCTGTTGCCCGAAGCAGCTGGGTCCGCGTTCAGTCCTAAAGGAGGAGCACACATGAACAGTTCAGAGCACAATCACAAACTACACAGAACTAACTCTGCCAGGAAACCAGAGTGCAGTGATAGGCTTTTGCTAGAATAGAAGAGTTGCACAGAACAACAGAAGGAGATTATATTTTACATTGATACGTTTTTTCGTTCTTTGTGTGATTGTGTTGAAACCTTAGACTCGGCGCATCGTGGTCTTTCCCCGTGCACAGCAGTGACAGCCGTTATGAGGAACCCTGTTTACACTGTCCGCAGCCACAGAGTGCATACCAGCAACTGCCCCTCTGTCTCCAGCCAAATCTGCCATCAGCACACACATCCCAGGTATTGCAATAACCACATACACACACTTGTACACATGTTTCTGAACTAACACAAATCCATGCTGCTGAAATATAGTGAGAATCAAAAATGTTGGGACGTTGAGAGGAAATGTTATTTTTGTTATGCAATACTGTGCATAAGTAGATATTCTGAGTGTCAGAGACCCTGCATATATGTATTACTTATTTAATTATATGTATTTAATTAATAATACAAGTACAGTAACTATAATATAATAATACAAATACAAGTACACGTACAGTAATTATAATATAAATATGAAGCATGTTATACATTTTTCAGGGGATATTTCTTTGGGGATAAGATATACACTTGCAGAAGGAAGGGAAATGTCAAAGGAAAATAAGTGAGAAATATGGCTGGGCAGTATGATAGTATTTAATAATATCATAATAAATTCTCTCTCAGTACGTCACAGTATGCATATTTGAGCGTATCAAAGATATCTTGAGTATTTAAACACTTCCTAACTGTATGTTTCATTGTAAATAGATATGATATAGTCCTATGTAATTGCATTTATACAGTGCAGTGTGCAAAATGTTGACTATGCAAAAAGTCAGTTTTTGATAGTATTTTTTAAACATGACACTGTTCCGGCTTGTCAGATGTCAGGAAAAAATAAATATCGCCACATATCATGTAATTGAAAACTCTCTGGAGTATTGTGATATTACATTTTTGCCATGTCACCCCCCTCTAGTGAAAAATCAGATGTTCCAAAATTGGAGAAGATAAAGAGATAAAAAGACTCTTAACAACCATGCAAGACCTGGTAGACCACCAAAACTGTCACCGTTAGATAAACAGTGCTTAAAGGTTTCCTTTTGAGAGATACGGTCTGTGCTCAATACTGTGGGATGTGAGAAAGAGGAAATAGTAGAAGAAAACTGGCAGATTATACTGGGAAAGAAAAAAAAATAAACAGTGGCCTTTGTCATTTGCTCTGTTCACTCCTCTAATTTCAACTCTGCATAAGTATTAGGACAAATATATTTAAAGCAAAATTAAATGTTTAGTGAGTGGTCCCAGACACTTCACATGCAATAACTGCCTTAAGGCTGAGACCCTCTGACATCACCAGGCTGTTGCTAACTTCATTTGGAATGCTCTGCTAAGCCTTTACGGCAGCCTCTTTCAGTTAGTGCTTGTTTTGCAGGTGTTCTGACTTCAGTTTAATCTTGAACAGGTGAAATACATGCTCAGTTGTGTACAAATCAGGAGACTGACCTAACCAGTCTATAACTTTTGCACAGTTTCTTTGATGAACCCCTCGGCTAAGTTTGCATTATTCAGGTCATTGTCTTGCTGCATCATGAACTTCTGCCCAATGTGTTTGAAGGATTTTGCTTATGCATAGTTAGGCAAGGTAATAATGCACACTTTAGAACTCATTCTCATTAACCCTCACCAGTTACATCATCAGCGAAGATCAGTGAGCCAGTTCCAGAAGCCACCATGCATACACAAGCCATGACACTGCTTCCAACATGCTTCACAAAAGCAATGGTGTGCTTAAGATCATTTGCAGTTCCTCTCTCTCTTTACTCTGTCCTTTTCCATCACTTTGATAAAGATTGTCTTTTTTACCTTATTTGTTTATAAATCTTTCTTCCAGAAGTTTTCTGGCTTGTACTTTTTTACGAGTTCTGTCCTGGCCTGTCTGTTCTTTGCGCTGATGAGAGGTTTGCATCTTGTAGCTTCTGTATCCCTTCTCTGTGAATAGGGAGTACTGACACTTCCAACCCTGTATTCTGTAGACTGTAGTTTAGTTCTTTGGATGTTATTTTTGGGTTTTTCTTCACAGATCTAACAGTGTTCTTGTCACCAGCTGCTGTGGTCTACCTGGGAGGGCCTGATAGTTGTAAATTGATTTTCAAAATATTGCAAAACATACCATGCTGTTTTGGAGTGCCCAGTTTTTTTCCCTTTAATCTCATGTTCAGAAGTGCTTGCTGCAATGCCTGTAATGCAAACTCCAAAGTCTACAACCAACTCTACATATTCAAAGCTCTTTATGTGTTTGTAATTAAGAGAATATGGAACACTTGAATGTTCAGAATCACCGGTCTGACATTGTGTGCTTTAGTTTCATGCTAAATAAAAATGTTATGACTAAATAATGTAAACATCCCCGTTTGCCTCATTGTCCCAGTATTTTTGCTTCTCACTGTATGTCTCAGGCATGGTCTTTGGAGGATTCCCGCATCAGTGTACACAAATTTATACACTTCTTCCAGTTCTGGTCCTCTTGGTTTTTACCAACCAACAAAGTATTTAACTGTTAGATACATTTTAAATGACCTCTAGCACTCTTACCTACATAGTGTGGAAACAAATTAACTTTGTATGGTGTTGGTCATTGAAAAGTTTTAGCAGTGGACAGTTTGTAATCCTAAGTCGGCATAAAAATTCTGCAACCCTCATTATAAGTGTTTGCTGAAATGACCTGTTCTCATTTGTACAGTGCAGTTCAGTGTTGATCCTTTTTTCCTGTTTGTAGCTTCTGCGTCATTCTCTCTCTCTCTCGCTCTCTCTCTCTCTCTCTTTCTCTCTCTCTCTCTCTCAGTCCCCAGCATCAAGGGCGTCTGAGTCTGGACCTTAGCCAGCAGAAGCGTTCTGCTGAGTACTCGGACTCCTCCCGCAGCAGCCGAGCCTCTCATGGCACCAACTCATTGCCGTCCAGTGCCAGACTCGGTCAGCCTCCGCTTCGCTTTCCTATTGCTCTCCTTTATCTGAGCCAGCCCTTACACACATTTGGTATCTTGTCTCATTAGTGCTCCAGGTGCCTCATATAATACTAGTTATTCTGTCTCTTTTGCAGGCTCATCCAATAATGTACAGTATCGCACAGAAAGGATAAAAATCCCCTCCACACCCCGTTACCCACGCTCTGTGCTGGGCTCTGATAGAGGTACTACTTCTGTCATTTTATGGGTCTTTTGTAAAGAGTTTGTCATATTGAGGACACTTACTTGTGCTGTTTAATATGTTGATAATTAAAGTCAGTCATATAAATGAAAATATTACATTTTTAAAACATTTATCCTACTGTTCAAAAGTTTAGTTTGTCATATTCATTTTTTAACAGCATAATTTGAAATATTCTAAACTAGACACCATAAGGTGTTTTATTCAGTATTTCAAGTATTTTGGTTACAAGCAGAAATTATTAAATGACAAATAATACACAACTATTCCTAAAATTAATTTCATTGTAAACAGCTTTCTTAGTCATTTTAGAATCATCTGGGGCTCCTAATTATTTGAAACTTGGCAATTATATATTCTGCAGCTTTCTACTAATTATTTGGAACCTGTGAAGTGCACTAGCACATTACAATCATTTTATACATTAGTTTTATCTGAACCAAAAGAGCTTTTCTAAATGTTTTATTAGTGACTCCAAACTTTGGAATGGTTATATATGTATGCATGCATGTACGTATGTATTTGTGTGTGTATCTTAGGATCTCTGTCCCACTCAGAGTGCAGTAGTCCCAGTCTCATCACGCCACCTCTGTCCCCACTCAACCTGGAGACGTCCTCATTTGCCTCCAGCCAGTCACAGAACTCCATCTCCACGTTGCCCCGCATCTCCGTCAGCCCCGTACCCACGGGAGAGCGCCGGAAAGACAGGTACCGCCCCACCACCTCAGCCCCCCGTCGCTCCCCCTGCCAGCTCTTCCGCAGGGTTGCCAAGCAACAGCTCGCTCTCTAGCGAACGTCTCACGCAGCTAGAGCAGCCGTATTAAGCTCAGACAGCTCTTCCTTCAGTTTACTCAGGCCCCCTGAAACTGGATCAGAAAGGAGAGATCAAAACAAGAGAATCTTTTCTCTGTCTCTTTATAGCAGAACTGAAAGGTGACCATTAATCTGGTTCAGCCATTCTTTTCACTAACATGTTTATTTTCATTTCTGCATTGTTCTCGTAATGTCTTTCTACACTCATCTGTACCTATTGTCTTCCTTCACTCTGTTGAGTCTCTCTTTGCCTCTCCATAGATTTTCACGAGCTGTCTCTTCTGCCCCTGTTCTTTGCTTCCTGTGAATCTTTCAGATCTCTGTACCGTAACAGATCGTTTCTGAGAATCCCTCTGGCTGCTAGGCCTAGGTTCTCCTCTCTCAGAAGCCTGAGGTTTGTTTCCTGCCAGTCACGCATAGGGAATGCTCAACAGACCTGCTTGTTTGCTTGTTGTCAATACAGAGCTGCATTCTGAGTGACTGGCTGTGGAAATCCTTGTTTGTTTGTTTTATGGGTAGACTGTATAGTAAATGGATCGACTGATATTGCCAATAGTTATCAGATGAATTCATATAAATGGGTTGATCAGCATTAGGTTGATCAGGTTACAGTGTAGAGACAAGAATACCCGTCATTAGCTCATGATTAAATAAAATATAAAATAATATGCAGCAAGAAAATAATCAGCTGTGCAAAATACAATTTAAATCCTGCTTTAATAGAGTAATTTATCAAACAGTGCTTTTGAACAACTCAAATGTTTTAGTCTGGATAAACATACTGCACTATTCTTACTCTGTATGGTGCTGACATGTGTTAGCCTTCACCAGTTTAATCCTAAAACTCCATTTCTGTACATAGAACATGTTACAGATAACATATTAAACATATAACACAAGTATTTTTGGCCAAACAAATTGAACGTCTTTTTGGCTGCTCTAAACTGTACTCTCCTTAACTGATTTGCTGTTTATTTCCCATTGTTATGAGTGTGGATACGGACCTCTGTGCTAATTTAAAATCATGCAATATTAAAAACTGTTGAAAGTGAAAACTGTGAAAGAGGGGAGGAGGAATAAACTAAAGCAGGGGAAATGAAGGGTAAAATCTGTTGTGATACTGTAAGAACCTGAATATGAAATTTGAATATGACCTGAGATCGACACACATTTTGAAAATGAAGTCCAAACCTGATATAAGTTATGATTTAAGCATTAAATCTACCTGCTTACATACCTGTGAAGTCATATGTAATTTGGAACTCTTATTTAGAGTAGTTTAGCATTACTTTTTATGGTGTTCAAAACTTAATTTTTTCAGGACTTTGCTGTTGAATTCTGAAAAACCTCTCTCATAAAAGTGAACTCATACGTAATGACATTTAATTATGTAGGTTTTGCATGTGTTTTGGTTGCATATGTCTGAAAAGATCCAGAATAATCTTTTTATTGTTTTTGTTTTTTTTTTATTGTTATCTTTAACCAGAGATTGTTTTTCAAAAAATCTTTTGTCACTATAATCTGCTTGTGAGTTTTAGACCTCTTTTAACTCGTGTTGTAGGCTGACTCTTAGTTAATGCATTTTGAGCTTTGTATGGATGTCCTCTCAGGTCTTTTTAACATGAGAAGTTTTCACCTGTCTGGATCTTTTGTTTATTTCCCCCATGCCCATACCCTCTGTTTTGTTGTGCCGTTAATGTTAATGATCCTGAACCTACAGCACAGTCTTACCCTAGTTTGTAAGACGTCTAGTCTGCTTAATGCTCTCCCCACTTCGGTTCAGTTGCATGAAGGTGCTCACTGATTGAGTATTTTTGTATCTGTCCTGAGTAGACAGCACAGTCCACATTCTCTCTGACAGTGTCTCCCAATCCCAGTCCTGAAGTACTCCTGCTCTGCACACTTTAGTGTTTTTCCTGCTTGCACACAGCTGATAAGCATGAGTTGAGTCAGCTGTGTTAGGCAAGGAGAACGCAAAAGTTCTCCAGAACTGGAATTTGGATTCACTGCTCTAGAAGTAAGAGTCGATCTCTGAAGGGGAGACTGACCTATTGTTTGTGCTTTAAAAGGCCATACCTGGAAGAGCCGCGGAACGTCATTGTGCACAAAGGGGCCGAACCTCTTGGCATCTCAATCGTCAGTGGCGAAAATGGAGGGATCTTTGTGTCTAAGGTGACAGGAGGCAGCATCGCTCACCAGGCAGGCCTGGAGTATGGGGACCAGCTGCTGGAGGTCAGTGCCCCAGTCTCAACAACAGCGTTCAACCAATATGAAAATGTTGTGTGTTAATATCAGCCCATATTTTATATGATCAAAGATTAAAAATTAATAAAATGATTTAGTTAAACAGTGATTACTATCTGATATGCTTCACATTTGAATTTTGAATTTTGTAAGAGCGACAATATCAGTGGTTTATCAGTGGGATTTCTGCTGATGCCAGTAAATCTTTGGCATCTTAATATTGGCTGATTTTATCTGTACACTATATATTGAATGGGCCTGAACCAACAGCAACACCTTTCTGAATTTATCTGTCAAGAGTTGAGTCATCGTGAGTGTCTCATTTTCATTCACTACTGACTGACATCAGTTTTGTTTGTGTGGATGTTGTTTGTTGATACCACCTGGCACTGTATATGTAGCTGTTGTGTGACCCTGTTGTCCGTGCTCTTGTTTGTTTTTTTTTTTCTTTTTAGTATAATGGGATAAACCTGCGTAATGCAACTGAGCAACAGGCACGTCTTATCATTGGCCAGCAGTGTGACACAATCACCATCATGGCCCAGTACAACCCCCACATGTATCAGCTTGGCAACCACTCCCGCTCCAGGTATGAACTCTGCTTTTAAATTTCCTTTAGTTTTATTTGGGACACAATTAATTCATTTGGTCTGTTATGCCGTAGTTCTCGTTTGGAACCAGTGAGCACCCAGTCCACTCCTCAGGGCAGTGGTGCTACCACCCCAGATAACCACTCCACCATCGACACCCTCAGTGAGCAGGATGAAGGCACCCTCACTCCCTCATCAAAACAGACTACACCCACCACAAGCCCGCATAGCTTCATCAGGTGCAGTGTTATCCATGCATCACTGTGTGTAACACTAGATGTTGTCACCATAGGGTTACTTTTTTTTTTAACAGCAATATCAGTCAATCCAACAGTTAATGTTACTGATTGGCGACCTAACCAGTGATAAGTGAAAGTATTGACTTATAAAATGTTAGTTTACACACTGATGTAAACACCAGTGTCAATTTGTTTTTGTAAATCAATTGCAAATGCTGAGAGAGAACGAAATTCAAATTTATAAATGAGGTTCCAGGACTGGAAACTGGATTCAAGGCCACGATTCAGTCAGACATCTGCTATACACTGTATGCCATCTATATCAGTCTAATGAAATGCAAATATGTTTGGAGAGGGACGGAAAAAACGCTGATGTATTTTTGTTCTTATAATACACAAACAGGGCAAACTCGTGCACTACTGTTTGCCATAACATGAAGGAATATTTAAAAGCAAATGTGTACATTTGAAAAAAAAATCTTTTATATTCTTGAAAATATTAATAATTTGGTCACTACAGGCTGAATCGGTCAGTTTTTGTGTCTGATAAGTTTTAGTAATGAAGGCTGCTTCAGATGAGCTAACAGTGAATTCTAGAACTAGCTGCTGGTGATGTGGACTACACAGTTTCTGTCCTCAGTGAATGATCTGCCATCAAGTTAGCTTGTTGAGAAATAGCTGTTTTTAGTTCTCGATAACACCAACTAGAATAGTTAGCCTAGATGCAGCTGCACCACCGCAGCCTTCTCAATGTAGTTATTAACAACTTATCATTATTTAAGTTAAGGCCTTCATGTTTCCTAGTAACAAAATGCAATGTAATATACTTGCTTTATTGCAATATGAGCACAGCTGTCTTACTTTACATGCTTTTTAAAACTTGATGTTATTTCTCTGAATTGTTTGCTTGTATATTTCCTCCATGACTTTCTGGGATGCAGTGTAATAAATGGCCAAGCAGCGATTTCAGTATTCAAATACCAGGACCTGGAACGATTAAGTGAAGACTCATGTACCCATGCACATCCCTAGTCCATTTAATAGATGTCTAATCCTCAGTGGATTCAATTAAAAGTTGTTAAATTCATATGGTCTTCTCAGGATGTCATCAGAAGGCTCTAAGAAGATTCCAGATCCTCGCGTGGTATCCGTGAGGAAGACTCAGGTAGAGCTCGGTGTTCAGATCTGTGGGGGGAATCTGCGAGGGATCTTTGTGGAGAGGCTGGAGGAGGACAGTCCTGCCAGGGGGGCAGATGGCCTCATGCCTGGAGACCTGATCGTGGAGGTGAGGGAGCAAACACTTACTGCAGGGCCTGTGGCACATATCATTGGTTATCACAAGTGGATGTTTATTGACATTTGAAAGTTAGTAACAAATGTGATACTAAATTGTATGATTTTCCACTGAACAGATTCTAAGCTGATTGAGGTTTGTGACAAAGACATGACCTTGTCCTTTGTGAATGAGTATGATTCCTGATCCAGGGAATTGCACTGCATTATTACATCTGCAGCCCTGAAATTAGAAATTCTATTACCAATGCAGCACTTATATAATTAACAATATAGAATTATAGTTAAAGTCTAAGAGTGGCTCACTATTTTTCTTTGCCAAGTAAAAACAGCTGGTGTTTTGAACCTTTGAGGCTTTGGGTCAGCTTTATTTCAGCCAAGAGTTTTTTAAAGAAAATATGATTATTATTAATCTAGAAAAGCTCTTTGACTTGTTGTGTCTTTTAAATATAATGCTGTTTCCCATGCTTGCCCTGATATGAACTCCCTTCTACTCTATATTCTATAACCTTCAGTAGTGATGTTTTAGAATTGACACTTATGTAGCTTATTTTTGGAGGAGATTGTTATTTTGCACCAGATTGTTCTCGTCTTGCCATGTGCTCTGAGTATGTAGTGCTCTGATCAATAGCAAGTGAATGATAGAGCCCTTCTTACCCCTCCCAGAGGCTGCTTTGTTCTGCTCTCGTCCCAGCACACCTCTCTGTCTGTCTGTTGTTCTCCATTGATCATGTCTTTTCCTTCTCGCTCGCTCATTGGGCCCAGGTAATCTATCTTAGGAGAGGGGATTGGCAATATCCCATCCCTGGCATGGCCTTCCACAGCCCTCTGCCAGATGAGTGGCGCATACTCTACAGCTCTGTCTCATCCAGACAAGGGGAAATGTCATCTCATCTCAAAACACATTCAATTTAGCCTCAGATGGAAATCGATCATGGGGCACTTAATGTACCAGAGAGCAAAGTGCAAACGTTTTCATTCTGTTGGTGTCTGTCTCAAAATGTGTTCAGAGATTAGTGAAGGGGAGGAAAAAAGCTGTCTGTCTTCTTTCTCACCCGCCATACCAGTTTATCTCTCTGTCCGTCTATGTGTCCATCATTCCTTTTGTCCAGTATAACTCGGTGGCTATGAAGAATAAGACTGCAGAGGAGGCTTACCTGGAAATGCTCAAGCCATCAGAAATGATCACATTTAAAGTCCAGCATTGTGTGGATGAGTTGAATCAGCTGAAGGATACTGCTTGTGATGGATTCTATATCAGGTACAGTAGACCATCATCACATAAGCATGTTTACTTTTCCCTATGTGACAATACTATAAAACCCCTAGTGAATTCTTTGTAGACAAATGCCAGTGTCTCTGTTCATGTGGACCGGTCTAAATATGGGTACAGTACGCTGAAGCTTCGCCTATATGGAAAGCTTTTAATCTTTTCAATTATGTGTAAGGCTGAGGATCCCACTGTAAAGGCTGGGTCTAAGTGTCTGCCATATGTAGATTCTAATAGTGGCTGTCATAATGAGACGGTCTGAGACAGAGCCATTGTGTGAGTACAACGGTGATGAGAAGAATGGCAGCGTGGTGTTCAGAAATAGCCGGGTTTGTCTTCGCAAATGGAAGTTTTCATTGTGCAGCTGTTGCAGGCACTCTGCCTGCCCACTGTCTCATGATGTCATCTGCAGTAAATAATCTCTGCCAGTCCATATGTTCTGAAATGAGAAGGGCTGAGGAGTCATAGCACCCCCACTGAAAGCTGCTACACTGTCATGAAACACTTATTTGTTCTTTCTGTATTTTTCTTTTTTTTCCTCCCTCTTTCTTAGAGCACTTTATGACCGAGTGGCTGAGACAGAGTTGGATCTCTCCTTTAAGAAGGATGACATTCTCTATGTGGACGACACACTCCCGAAGGGCAACTTCGGCACCTGGTTGGCTTGGCAACTTGATGAAAATGCACAAAAGATGCAAAGGGGTCAAATCCCAAGTAAATACATGTGAGTGAAGTCATGTGATTTCGTTTAGTACAGTCATATGCAATAGTTTGGGCACCCTTGGTCAAATTACATGTTTTGTTTATTTTCTAAGTGAAGATAAGTTAACACATCCTCTATAGAGCACACACTTGTGCGCATTTGAATGCAGAGTTACTGTTTATTTGCTGGATGTAACATATTGGAGGAAAACATAAAATCTATGCAAAAGTTTATTTTTTATTATTTTTTTAAATATGTTAAATGCAGCAAAAAATGTGCAGTAAAATTTGAGAAAAAATGTATTTAGGTTTGTTTCCTGTAGATGATGTATTATTTTCCCTAAGAAATCAACAAAACATGTAATTTGACAGACGTGACTTGCATATGACGCTATGTGTAGGATCTTAAAAAATATTGCTAATAATTTGTTGGTGGTGGTAATCTTTGTTCTTTGGGGTCTTTGGACTGAATTGCATTTGGTTGAATGTGTAGGATGGATCAGGAGTTCTATCGCAGGCACAGCATGACAGAACTGAAGGATGAGGCTGGCTCCAGTAAAACTCTCTCCGCAGCTGCACGCAGGTCCTTCTTCCGCAGGAAACAGAAGCACAAACGCAGTAGCTCCAAAGATGGCAAAGACCTGCTAGCCCTGGATGCCATTAGCACAGACTCCATACCATTTTTAGAGGGTGAGAGAAGCTTCTGTATCCCCAGCAGTAGGTTACAACAATGATGTGCTGTAGTTCAGACACTGTAACACACTAATTCAGGTTTAGTTCAGAGAGTTTCTGAAGATGTTTTTGTGAGTTATGCTCTTTTGCCTGTTTCAGTCAGTTTTATAGCTCTAATTTTTTAATCTCTTTTTTATCGCTTTGTTTATTGCTTTTTTTTCATTTATTATTGTTTTGTGTTGTTTGGTCAGAATGTGTGAGCCTAGCCTATCAGAGGGTGCAGAAAGTAGACTGCACCTCTCCCAGGCCAGTGCTAATCCTGGGCCCACTCGTGGATCCTGTTAAAGACATGCTGGTTAAAGAGTCTCCAGGGAAATTCAGCAGATGTATACTTGGTGAGTGCCCACAATAGAAGCACTAATACCGGTCTTAAGATTTTTCTTATGGTGGGATTTTATTAGCCTTACAATGTTCAGTATGACCAAAAGCTGACCTTGTCATGTGTGGTGATGCAGAGGTGATGAAGGCCTCTCAGCAAGCCATTGAACGTGGGGTGAAGGACTGCCTCTTCATTGACTACAAACGGAGGAGTGGCCACTTTGATGTGACAACAGTTGCTTCCATCAAGGAGATCACAGACAAGGTCTGTCCAGTTAGTCTTTTTCAGTTTAGCTTTCTATTACAGTGAAATGTATTATGGTGAAAAAAAAACCTTTTTTTTTACTTTTTTTGTCACTGATTAAGAACCACTAGTCTACCAAGAAACTGAATTAGAATATCTTTTTGTTTTTGATTTCAGGGCTGAACAACATAACGCATGTGCCTTACTCAAGCATTTTGCTCATGAATCGATGATCATAAATATTTCATTATATAAAAAAAAAATGTAGATGACCATATAATCATGTAATCTAGATGGAATGTTATGTAAAATGCATTGCACACACAGGCTTGATATAATCTCATGACTGCCCATCATGTCGAGGGAAAAAAAAGAAACGGGTCATCATATAACATTTGTGTGTGTAGACGATGTGATATGTGCTTGTAATAGCCTAATTATCAAAGTAAGCTGAGGCACTTATGGCAGCAATCAGACTGGTAAATTTGAATATTGATAGACCAGTGGTTCTAAATCCATGTCTTAGGGACCCAGCCAACTAATTAGCTTACCAGATGTTTCTGAAAACACAAAAATGGAGTGCATGGGCTCCGCCAGATTCTGACAGTAATTTTTTACATACGCACAGAAAATCTCTGATACAGACACCAGGAAAATATTACACGTCTGTATTCTCACAAGGCCACAGTGTTGATGGACACAACGATATAGTGCACAGTTGAAATGTGAGGTTGTTGGATTTTGGATTTTGAGGTTTAGAGGGCATTACTTTAACCCTCACTGAATCCAAAAAAATGCAGTATTAACAAACTCTGCAAGTATGCATGTTTTTAGTAGGGCTGGGCTGGGACGATGAAATACCTGCAAATTGGGACAAAATGAATGCTAAGTATATATATTTTTTATTTTTACAATTTAACATTTACTGTTAAAGCAATAAGTGGTCCAAGCCCTACTCTTTAGAGGTCCCTAATATAAACTGTATTAATGATACAAATAATTAAAATTAAGGGTCGACTGATTATCAAAGCCAATATTCAGCATTTTTCTGATTATCAGAATCTGCACTTGAACTTGCTTCTTTGCCGATAAAAGAGGTTTGTGTTATAAATGCGCATATCTGACACAACCACAATAAAAAAAAAAATAAAAAAAAACACTCCTGCAGTGTTACTGGACTACTTGATATGTGGATGACGTATTGAGTACAACCAACCAGCACTTCTGTGGTCTGTCTCTATGTCTCGCCCACAGTGCTTTTCAGTGTTTGTGAGTTTCGCAGGAAAGAATCAGCGCTGCCTTTGCTTCCACAGCGTTCGGAATATGTGTGTCTATAGCAGAGCTATAGCTATGCAGACAAGCCTCCAGAAAGCAGTAAACAAATAAACAACAAATAAGTTATACATTATTTCTTGTCTTTTTTTTAATTTCTATTTTTGCTCATTAAAAGTACAGACAGCTGCAGCTTCCTACTTCCAAAGATTGCACTGCTCTGCTTAGACCATCGAATAATGCAGAGCATTTTTAAGAGCCAATCAGGACACTACTGACACATCCAGCAAGTCCTGCTTTTTATCACATGAAATACATTTTTTGGTAGAACCACAAAATGAAATAATAATGTTAACATTCATATACCATCAATGCTGTTGCTTTTTACAAAGTAGCAACAGTTTTTACTGTATGATTGCTCAGATCCTTACTGTAATATTTTTACTGGTGTCGCATTTACAGTTCTATGTACTTGGTCAGTGTAGGCTGTAGTTTTTGGCCTGTATCTAGGCTTTCTTACATGCTCCTATATACTGATCATTGTCAGTGACTCATACTGTATATCTCTTTTATGTATAAATAATATAAATAATATATATATATATATATATATATATATATATATATGTATATATATATATATATATATATATATATATATATATATATTACTATATATATATATATATATATATTTACTATATATAAATATATTTTTATAATTTTGAGTTTAAAGTTTTTGAGCCCCTTTTTTGAGCTCCAACTTTCTTTCAAATGTCATTATTGAACATCACAGAGCTATTTAAGATATTTATTTTTAAGATATTTTAGCTCAAAGCACTTCATTTTTTGTAATTTTTGTAAATTTTCACACTGCAAACATCAAATATCAGTGTCGGCACTGAAAAAAATGTATCGGTCGACCCCTAATTAAAATATAAGCAAACGTCTGACCTTTTAAATTTAGATCTTTATTTTAGTTTATTCTTGTCTCAAAGGTCTGAGTTTCAAGAGTATTACCCGTTTCAGTGTTAGAACATGTAGTCCTGAGAGTGCCATTTGGCTGTTCTGAAGCTCCTGATTGTGGTTTTAAGTGTGCCAGTTCTATTCTCTCTAACATCCACTGTTCCTCTGTTTGCGGCCATTCATTGTTCATGTAACATGACTTGAAGTTGCTCTGTGTTGTGTCGTTCTCTCTCATAGGACTGTCACTGTTTGCTTGACATTGCACCTCACGCCATCGAACGGCTTCACAGCGTTCACATTTACCCAATCGTCATTTTCATTCGCTACAAAAATGCAAAGCAAATAAAGTAAGTGGCCCTTACATACTCCTATTAACAAGGTCTTTACATTTCGAGAATGAGCCAATAAGAATGGCTGCTAGTCTGTATGTGACACTGAGTGTAGTACATGTCCTTGTTAGTTTCGTAAGACCTAAGAAAGTGACAAATTACCTCCCCAGTTGGTGCTAAGAGCCCTTTTGGGGCATTTTATTCCAAAGAGGCTTTGTACTCTCCCATAGAGACTGGGAGTCATTTGCGAAATGGATAGTTTCAGTGGTACAGTGTGAAACTACTGTGCTTTCCTTGGCAGTGCACTGGGAGCTGCTGCAGTCAAGTGGATGGCTGTATTAGCTCTTTATGTAAAACAGATATACGCTGCCTCCTAAACCAAAGCCTGTGAGTGGGCGGCTGCCACTCTCAAGGTTGTGCACTGCAGAATGCTTTGCGGTGATCCAGGGCCTGTTTTATCCCGAGAAGAAAATGAAAGCTGACTCTGTGGGCTTCTATGTGTGTCATGGCTGCACAGTACATAGACAGGACTCAAGGAGTTTAATGAATGTAAAGCCAAGTTATACACCCCTTATAAGTGTGCCTTTCAATTTTATTATGGCCATACACAGTGACATAGATAACTAATGGTGAAAAATCATCCCAGTAGAGCTGCGCAAATTGGAGAATTCTCAGGAGGTGAAAAACGGAGCCTTCTCTCTTCACTGTATTGAACTTGGGAATAATGCCTGTCATTCATGACCCGCTAAATAGCACTAACTATAACACTAAAGGAGAGCAGCCCTTACAGGCTACTGAAAGCTAGAGTATGTGTAGCCACGCAGCAGACTTTATATTATATATTTTTGTAATCCTTTCTGACCTTAGGAAACACCTAACACACACACACACACACGCAAACACACACTCACAAACACACACACACAAAGTTATGTAATGTCCAACAGCTGGAATTTTGGTCCATTTTACAAGTCTTTTTTATGTAATATCATTTGTCCAAAGTGTTGTAACTCCAGCCACATGTTCTCTCTTCAAAAGACTGTCTCTGCTCCACTGTGACAGCTTTAAGCTTTCGTTTTTATTTAACTGTTTTGAGTGCTAACAGCATTGATGTTAGTGTTAATGACTAAAATCATGGACATGTCAGTACAGCATCTCCTCTTTGTCTGTGTCCTGTGCAGAGAGCTGAAAGATCCGGTATATCTGCGGGATAAAGTCTCTCAAAAACATTCCAAGGAGCAGTTTGAGGTTGCACAGAAGATAGAGCAGGAGTATAGCAAATTCTTTACAGGTTTGGGTTTGGTTCCATATTGTTCATGAACTTCTCTTCTAGCTTTTTATTATTTATTTATTTATTTTTAACTTTGATATGAATAGCTGTACTCTTTATAAGCTGATGGTTTCTCTTGCAGGTATTGTCCAAGGAGGCACGTTGCCCTACATTTGCACTCAGATCGTGACTATAGTGGATCAAGAGCAGAGTAAAGTCCTGTGGACTCCGCTGGGCTCTCCCTAGGTGGCCGAGCGCGTGCTCTCCGCTTACTGCCTCTCACACCTGAGCTTACAAACACTATGCTTTACACTCACACTACACGCAAAGGTACACTACAGTGAGCATCGCGGATATATAGTGATCCTCCGTTTTTCTCTCATGATTCATTTTCTGGTTAATTGTAACATTTTATGTTTAATTGTAACAGAGCCTCTTATTTGTGTGTGTGTGTGTGTGTGTGTGTGTGTGTGTGTGTGTGTGTGTGTGCGCGCATGTGTCCGTGTGTGTGCAGATGCAGGATTATAGCACTGAAGTTTTCATTGTTTTCCTTTGGTCTTCCTGACAGACATCTAATGATTAGTAATGCTGCATCTAAGACACTTGTTTACAGAAGAATCAGTCCGTGATTTGTTATTTAATGTCTGCTTGAATGTGTACTGTCCCCTTATCTTAATGAAGTCATACCTTGTCCAACCCCACAACCCCCCACAACCCCCTCTCCCACCCAGCCTAAAACCAGCCCTGTATTTCAACCCACTTTTACCAAAATGGCATGTGTATCTCTCTGTTTTACACATCACTTCAAGGACTGAAAACTCATTGTGGGTGAAGAGTAACTTGTTGTAAGATTGTTTGTTTAAATGTAATAATGACTGTTGGTTTGCATCATAGTGCTTATATTTTGGGTTGAGGTGAACAGCAACTAAGCGGATTTTTACGGGCCAAATGGAAGTGCCTTTGGAGATCTACTGAGCGTATGACAATGGCATGTTATTGAGGTGAAAGGCTGATGTTTGAAACTCCTCAGATTGCACTCCAGGGCTAGACAGACCACTGTGTTATCATTCTCATAGAGGAGAATATATATTTAAAGAGAACATGAAATCTAACACACTTGTACTCATGCATACAATACTGAAGTACAGGCACACTAAACCTGTACGTATGCAAACTCATCGAAATATATAGATCTATATATATAAATATAAATATATTAAATGTATTTTGACTAGGCTACCGGCCTAGGAGAGTGCAGCAGGTGTTCAGTCAGGTCTTAGCAGATATAAGCATGTTCTGTATTTCTCTTGTCTTTTTCTCTGTTCGTCAGTCACTTTTATATGTACCCACTGCAAAACATCATGGAAGGAAGAGATGCAGGGTAAATATAATTAGGTCTCTTAGGCTAAAACTGTTGAAATGTTAGTCATTTTACATGTATATTTAATTTTTTTTTTTTTATTCAGCAGGCACAGTCATGTCCTTCATTCAGACCAGTAGTCCCACCAGTTATTGTGCCAAAATTCAATGTGTCAGTTTCTTTTATTTCTGTTTTGCACTTGCAATGTTATGGACCCTAAACAATAGCTGTTCTTAGGTTTCCAGTAGAGGTTGAAAATAGGTACTATACTTATTACTTTAAGATTAATATTCTTTTAAGTGTATCACTCATGTTCCGTACATTTCATTAATTGCCTCTTCTTAAATGAGTAAAAAAAGAAACACTGCATTATTTACATTCTCGTTTAAAAAGGGATTTCTTATTGCACAATTTTCTCAAAGGAAAATCAGTCCATATGTTGACTATTGGGTTGAAATTAGGCATTTTGTTTGAGTGACTTTCACGTCTAACTGTTTTCTGAATAGATAACAAAGATCTAAATGAGAGGGATTCAACGCAACATGCTTGTTGTTTTAGGAGCAATGACTAGAAGACAGGTACTGTCACAATTGGGATTTTCAATATTAAAAAAAGAATGTGATTTGTATGAGCTGTTAAAGACATTAACATGAGAATAAAAGTCATTTTCTGTATCACACTATATTATCAGTTGAGTCCAAATGGTGATTGACTGGAGTGTTCATTCTACTGCAGGGTAACCTCACTCTGTCTCTCTCTCTAACAGCCAACAAGCCTGCACCCTTTAGAAAGACCAGTGCACATACACTAGAATGACAGGTGCTGTAATTGAGCATGGAGCTGTCTTGTTGGTAGCCCCGTCTTTAGGGTGATGGACTGTCTCTAACCATGAGGAAGACTGGGGAAGATGAGGTGTTAATTACTGGAACTGAGGTTTTGAACATTTCTTTGAGGCCTCACCGCTGCAGTCTGGTAGGAAGACTTGACAGAGTAGGATCTGAGATGGGTAACGTTTTTATTCTGTCTACTGCATCCTCTCAAAGCTACTTGTTAGAGAAACTGAAGGAATGGCCCTGTTCAGCCTGAGCTACACTGCCAGCCTACAGTGATGTGTGTGGAGTTTTACCCTCCCACAGTAAAAGCTGGTTATTTTTTTTCTTTCATACCTCGTTAGTGCTGGTGAAAAGAATACTGAATAACTATACAAGCATAAGCACTACAGCTTCACAGTGTCACAAAAGCACTTCTGTGAGATATTAAATAAGTTAAGATGTCTTTTTGAATATTGACTGCAGTTGTTCTGATCTCCTACGTAGATGATGGATCTAGTAGCAGCATAGGTTCCAATTAGTGGGGACAGAAAATTCCAAAACTGATTACTGTTTGTGGTAATGTTGTCCCATACAACCATCTGGAGACCCCTGATCTTTTACTTTATCTTTTCACTCTGGGCATCTGCTACATTAAACCATTTCTCCATATGGGCAGAAATGAACACAGAACAAAATTCCGTTCCAAGCATCAGTGATTCTGATTATCACACAGAACGCCTGCAGTTCACCAGTGGGCCTGCGATTGGTCCTTTTTCAGAAGTGCATGTAGGTCACTCTACGCCAGCTCATGGTCATGTGATGAACTTCCATGAAAAAGAAGTCAAGCGAATGAATTTTTAAAGTTTTCCCCATCAGGTTCTATCACATCTTAAATATTGAGAACTGCTTACAGAGTGTCAGGGCTGAGCTGAAATATTAAGACTGATATTTCACTTTAAATCACCTGGTTTCCTGTTAGTAAAAGCCTATGACAGGTTCATTTATTGGGAGAGGTTTTTATTTAATCATATTTCCTTCAGACCTCTTTCCTACATAAAACAGAACAGTATAGATGTGCGATGACTCCTTCATGATTTAATCATTTTCTGAACATACATTTGAGTAAAAATATGAGACAAAGATGTAGTAAAACCATTAATTGAAAAACACTGGATCTCCAAAACAACCTTTATAATGCTTCCAGAAATCTATATCCTTTTTTGAGAGTTAATATGATGTACTGTTTGTTCATCAGGCATCTGTTATGCCCAGAATCTTGCAGAAGCATCCAACAAGTATGTCTTGCTCTCAGTCAAAATACATTTCCTGAAAATACAAATACATAAGCATCATCATCTGAAGTTTCACATAAATTCTTAGGTTCTGCTGACTGGTGTCACTGACTGTTTGAAAAAGCTGGGTGAACATGTTATTTCTGATATTCTCAGAACTCTGAACTACAAGTCTTCTTAATGGCCTGAAAGACACTGGATGCATTGGTCTCATTTGTAAGAGATTCTGTGAGCCATACTTTCTGCAAAAGTCATTTTGAAAACTGACAAAGATTACATTTCAAAGATGAAATATTGCCAAATCTGACATACAGTACATCCTCCAGTATACAAACGTACTGTGGTCATTTACGAACATGAAAACAGATGACTTAAAGTGAAATGTTATTCTTAGTGTTGTATTTATACCCAGTTAATATTTCATCTGAGGTCAGTCATTCTGTAATCAATTAAACTCAGATATTTAAGTGATACAGTAACCTGATTTAGAACCCTAACTAAACTAATTGGAGCACAAATCTGAAATTTTGCATGGTTACATCAGTTAAGTTTTTGCTTGACTTTGTTTAGATGTTCATCATGTGACTGGACGGGTCCTAGGTGAGTTGGCGTGAAATGACCCATGTAGGAAACAGCTCTCTTTGTTAGAAATATCTGATGAACTGGAGTGAAAACAGAGAAATCCAGGGTTAAATTGGTCTTGTGAGCCCAGTGGTGATAGGCAATTTAAAATGACAAGGGTATGAACTGTTGTGAAGCTTGCACTTGTGCTGAAATGAACAGTCTGACTGGAACGCTGTAGTGAAGAAAAATATATTTCAAACTGTAGGAAAATTAATGCCATTCAACAATAAATTACAAACCCCTGGGGAAAGAACTGCATTTAACTACATTTATACACATGCTAAAGTGCATGCTATTATCTATTATGTAATTTGCTGATAAAGCAAAACTGTTTTTCCATTGTTTTCGTTTTGTGTTTACCATATATTTTGATTAAGTGCAAACAGCTTAAAGCCTGTATAAGTTTAGTGTTCAACTGTTGTGATGAAACTTTTGCCCATTATTGCCAGTATTTAGAATAGTATCTATTACAGGGGTGATTCTAGACTGCTGAATATACTGGGGCTCACTCTAAATTAAGGGGGGCAGAGCACGACCTCTTTGATTATCGTATATGAGCAGAGCAGTCTGCACTGAAAATGAAGTTACCTCAGGCTGAATACTCTAACCTGGAAAAGCTATCAAACCAGGTGCTTTTAAAAGGAACTTTCCATGAAGAATTCAGTGTATGTCCCATTACCTTTTTAAAGCAATAAAGTGACGTTTTATTTCTGTGATAAGTGACAGGATCTGTACATTAACCTTAAAATAAAATGATTAAAATTAGCATTTAAATGATAACAAAAACACAGAGTGTCTGTATTCACTTTTAATATGGAGATGTTTAATATGGGCTGTGATACTGAATTCTTTATGAAATGTATTCATTAAAATCTTCCAGTAGGGCCATAATCAGTGTTATTTGGTTAATTCCCAAGATATTTAATGTTAAGATTTTTTTTCCCTATTCGTTTTAAATGACTTTGTTAAATTAAAATTTGTACCACTTTTTATGCACAACCCTGTTACCCAAGCCTGCCTCTCATTAAAAAAAACAAATAAATAATGCAGATTCCATTTATTATGATACATACAGGAATTTGCGTCTTGTTTTTTTGCAGAGTGACTGTCAGATATGTAAGTATTCTCACTCTTTTTTCCATTTACACACAAAAAAACTGACCTGCCAAGCTAAGCACTCCTGAATGCTAGCTTATTTTAGCCTAAAGTCACAACCCTGTTACCCATTTTTTACCATCAATTCTTTTTTAAATGAAAATGAAATAAAAATAACCTGAAACAAAGATTTCAATAAAACATTTTAATAATTATTTTTTAACTTTCCCTTCTGCTCTATGATACACTTTATATAGTTTTTTTACTTCATTTATATTGACTGAATGGGTAATATAATCTGTATTCAACCCTGTTATTCAGACATTTCATTTAGTAGGTCATGTTACTCGAAGTGTCAATTTGGTAACGAGACATTAGTTAAAACACAAGAAAACTTTGGATTTTTATTATTTATTTGACAAGTACTAAAACAGTTCATAAATATTTGACTATTTCCTGCAAGAGAATAATGAATTCAATGTACACAGGCTTTACAACACCATTTATACAGCTCCATAAAAACCGGCAACATGGTTGTAAAAGGGCTGCTGTAGGCCTACATTTCAGAAAAAACACAGCTTTGTGTCTGATTTGACAGCCTGAGGTGCGAAAATAACATTTTCTGAAGGTTTAGAACTTGCTTTGATTAAAAAAAGAAGAAGAAAACGTAAATCTTTAAAGAGTTTCTACATATAAAATAAACTCTTTTCACGGAAAGTGTCAAAAGCTCTCTTTTGTGCTCAAGTACTGACGTGGATACCGAGTCACTCTCATTTGCTCTGGACATGCTTTTGTCTCCCAAGTCATCTCGCTGCTCTACTTCTGTTTTCATTTTAATAATTTTACCGACATGTGAAAACGTAGGTATACAAAGGTTTACATATCTATACTGTTAAATATTTGGCTATTCATGTCCACCTACCACTAGCTCCGCATGGAGAACAGTCGTCCCACAGCCTGACTATGAAAAGCGTTGAAAACAAAGTTACTGGGGCACTGTGGGAAATGTAGTGTCTGTAATGAATTACGCAGTAATACTGTTTGTGGCGTGTAGTTTAGCCCAGCAATCAAAATTAAAACTGGAAACCTCACAGCTTACATACTGACGTTTTCTCCCCTGTGATTTATAGCGAGGCATGTGCCTCAGTAAACTGGGACTAGCGACGCCCCTGTTCAATTCACGTTGGCATTTAAAGGGACATTTCACTTAAAATCAGATTTATTTTGTTTCTGTAATTGTCTGTAACTGACATGCTGAGAAGAAATCATTAGTCCAGTTTACAGCTGACCACACAGTCTGATATGTAGACTTGCCATGTCATTTGATAAATTACATGCCATCCTTTCAGGACACATTTAAAGCAGGGTGATGGAGTACTTAAGCCACCAGAAGGGAAAATTCTGGCATACAGTGCCTTGCGAAAGTATTCAACCACTATAAAAATCATCAGATTCATCAGGAGCACATTAAATCGCAAAATGTTGCGCACAGTTAAAAGTGCACACAATGGATTCTAATAAAAACCTCTACAAATGCGGTCACTGCAGCTTTTGGTGTAAACACAACAACCGAAGACATTAGAATAAAGCACTAAGCCATGAGAGGCCATGCGTTACTGTGATTTTATCACGGGGAAGGGTGTTCTTAGGCACGATGCAGAGCGAAATTCAAATGACATTCTTTAGACTTACAGTGCCATTTATAACATGGTGGAGTTGTTTAGCATGTTTGCTATCCTTTAGCCTGTTAGCTAGCTGACCAGCCTGTCTCTGGTTAAGAAAATAAAGTATCAGCCCCTGGTACTGGTTCTTACTTCCACGGTATGCTTGGTGGTCCATGTGAGCAGCATAAGAGTCAGAGATCATTCCATTAACAGCACAAGGATTTTTTTATGCCATGACGTAGTAATACAGAGTTTACTTGCGAGGCAGTCATACATTTTAGCACCGGAACTATTCATTTCATAAGACGTATTTTGAAGTATTGCTCATGTAATTTAATCTATTTCATCAGGCTCAGAAAATTCTTCGAAAAAAACTCCAAGAATGGCCTTTTCAGCTGCCATCATAAAGAATCATCAAGAAAGTTTTCTGGATAAACAACCCCGTAAATTTAAGTACCACTGATCAGACTGCGAATCTGAAGGGAAGCTGTGAAAATGAAGGGCATAGTAAAGCTATCAGAAAAAAAGTTATAGACGATGTAAGGAATGTAAGGAAATGGAAGCAGCATCATATCACCCAGGCACTGCCTAGACAAGGCCCTCCCTCAAAACTCAGCATCAAAGCAAGAAGGGGACTCATGAGGGGAGCCATAGCAAGATCAGCATTCACTCTGAAGGAGCTACAGAGTTCAGTAGCTGAAACTGGGGTGAAGGTGCATCAGTCAATATTATCAAGAGTTTGCCTATAACTGCCCTGAATGGGAGGGTGGCTAGAAAGAAGCCATTACTAAAGAAAAAAACACATCGAAGAACATCTGCAGTTTGTCAGAAAGCATTAGAGTGACCCAGCTAAAATGTGGGACAAGGTTTTGTGGTCAGATGAGACAAAAATTGAGCTTTCTAGCAAACTGCTATGTGTGGTGCAAACCTAACACTGCTCATTCCTCAACAACCACCACACCAACAGTGAAGTATGGGGGTGGCAGCATCATGTTGTTTGGAAGCTCATCTTCAGTAGGGACTGGGCATGTTATTAAAACTGAAGGACGGATGGAAAATACAGGGAGACACTGCAAAACACCCTGCTTCAGTCTGCTAAAAACTAAAGCTTTGGAGAAACTTCACCCTTCAGCACAAGGCCAAAGCAACACAACAGTGGTTGAACAACAAAAAGGTGAAAATCAAATCCAGAGAGTCTGTTGCACTGTTTGAAAACTGCATCATCCAACCAATACGAACAGTCTCCAGCCAATGCCTGGAAGAATGGATAAAAATCTCTCCCAGTGGGCAAAGGTGGTAGAAACTTACCCCAGCAGACTTAAAGCTGTTATTGCAGCAAAAGATGGTTCTGCCAACTAGTCTGAAGGGCTTGCATACTTATGCCGGCAGCATTTTTTTAAAGATTTGCTGACAAATAATACATTTTACCTTTATTAGTTTGCAATAAAAAAAAAACACTGTCAGGATCAGTCTGTGCAAATGTCAGTTGTAATCCAGATGAATCTGAAAACTTTTGCAAAGCCTTGTATATATCCAAGACACCATTCAGATGATTCCTAAAATGTATGCGGGATGTTTAGTGCTGTTCCATTATGAATAAAAATGACTGCTTACCGTGGTGCTACTATAAGAAATGAACTGTGTGAAATGAGTTTTCCTCTGCATTTTTGACAAATCCTCTTCTTTCCAAAGTTCAACTTTGACTCAGTCCCAACTCAACACAGGAATAGAGCATAAACTTGGACCAGCTGGGGACCCTGAGGACAGATTTGATGACCACTGCTTTAGGTACTGTATAATATGTGTGTTCAGAAGACAAGAATTTTATTCATGCAAAAGCCTCATCACCATTAACCAGGTCTGAGCTGTAACAGCTTTTGATTCTTATCTGATGAATCAACATTTTTAGTTTTGAATCAGCATTTTTCTAGGCCTGTGAATATTAAACTAATTTATGCTGTTTGATCATACAAGAATATATATTAGATTATGTAAGTCTTCTGGAGTTCTGGAGATCACTGGCCTATATATCGCCTGTTTCTCTTGATTAGCATTTACATGTCCGTGTGTTACAATGTTCATGTGTAATCCATGTGCAATAATGAAAGTGCCCTTGGTGATGCCAGTGCTGATTAACCATGCTCAGTCTTGAGGATGAAGGCACCTCCTCCAAGCCCATGTCCTCGTTTGCCTCATCTGCTAATTTCTGGCCTCCAGCTCCCTCTTTCACTGCCATGTTGCACGGAAGCCTACTATATATTCTACTATAGTACTCCAGCTTTACCCCTGCACAACGTGTCCTCCAAGTCCCCTTACCCCCCTTTTAGTCTCCTGCTGGGGTATCTGTTTCAAGACAGCTGCTGAGAGATCATCTGAACTTGAGAAGATGCAAGTCTCTCTGATAGTGATATTTCTAGTTAGCCTGGCAAACAGGGCCTTTCTCAGCTTTAGCTGAATATCGAGTGTTAGGTTGGCTCCGTTTTAGCTAAAGAAGCCTGCCCAAGCTTGACCGTGTACGCTGACTTGCACACTTTGAACTGTCCATTGTTTACCACCTAAATGGCCAAGTGGCAGCATCTGTTGACAGTTCAGTGCTTTTCCACGGGAACAGGTTCCTCAGCTCTTTAAGCCGACAGCTGGGCAAGGTTTCCAGGAAGATGATCAATCCCGGATCCTATTGCCCTCCATAAATAACAGAGTAGTACGTGGTAGGCAATAAATGCCAACTCTACGTACCATGGAGCTGCTAAGAAAGTTCTCCTCTTCAAACAAGATTAGAAATATCAACGTAAAGACTCCCTTATGTTTCTAAAATTCAATGGAATGAACAAGTCTGCAGTATAGTGGATATAAGTATTTAGCATAAGTTATTAGGCATTTGATATAATACTTTACACAGCATTACCTACAATGCATAGCTTCCCATCATCCCTTCTACTTAATTTTTAGTGGCTAGAATGTTTTATTCTCTAAACTTGCATTCCCTTGGTTGCCCAGTAGGAGGTGAAATAAATGGAGTACCCTCACCTTTGGTCAAGCAGTGTTGATCTGCCATCTGTAGAAAGAGAGAGAGTGACATAAGCAAAAATCATGATTTCAAATTAAACATGTTGTTTAATAGTGGTGTAAGCAGAGGTTTGTCTACTGTAAGGACTGTGCCAGAAGCATTAGACTCATTCATTTATATAAAAGACTGTACAGCCATATAGCACATTTTAATGGCATTTAATAAACTGTCACTATGAAACTTTGCCTGAATGCAGCTTTGGCTAAATCTAATTTAAAATCATGGTTTTACCTTATTGTTGTCAGCTTGTCTCTCACTGTTTATCACTCTGAGATTAACTTTTCAAAGATTCTGTTACAGCAGCTGTTTTGGTTTAAGTACAGTACCTCTCAGACAGTAAATCTAAACCATAAAGATCAGTAAATCATCTTCACACCTCATTCATGTTTAGCTGTGTTTATATCTTGAAAATGCCTTACAGGATCTTATGACAGACAGTCTTTAACACTGCAGACTCTACTCTATACACAAACAAATAAACAAATATTGAAGTGTACATAATAATAATAATAATAACAATAATAATGATGATAATAATAATAATAATTTGCATGTATTATTATTATTATTATTATTGTTGTTGTATTTTATATGCCAATAGTAATTATTTTGATTAAATAATGACAGTAAAGACAACAATAATATAAGAACAAATAATATCATTGTTATTATATGTAATAATAAGAATATTATTCTTATTATTATTTTTTGTATAACGATATTGTTATTATTATTATTATTATTATTATGTATAACAACACTTATAAACGTGATTATAATGTTTTTGTATTGTGTGTAACCCCCCCCACCCCACCCCAACTCCCCCATCGTCGTCAGAGCTGTGAGATAACGGCTTTAGCTTATTTCCAGTGTGAAGGCCTATAGCGACGCGCTGCTGCGTGTTTTCGTTTCTGAAGGAGAAGCAGGACTAGCAGGAACACGGAGCTCACTGAAGATCCACCCTAACAGCAGAGTCTCCAGCCCCCAAAGCCCAGTCAAATAAGCGAGTGGTGGACATTAGCGGCCCTAGAGCTGTTTGTCCATCTTTGATTCTGATGGCTTGGCTCCGCCTTCCTACCTGTAAATCTGCCCAGCAGTGTGTGGGCTAACTGAACTGATCTGAGCTGAGAGAGAGACACACAGTGAGAGAGAGAGAGAGAGAGAGAGGGGGACTGAGGGACTGACTGAGGGAAGAGGACACGGACAGACACGCTCACCAGATCAGCTGTCACCGAGCGCCAACCCTCACTGAGCGGCTTTATCTCACACCAACCGCCGACGAGCAGCACGGGAGGACGGAGACCCCCTTTTCCAGCTAAAGCACAGCGCGTTTAGGAGCGATTATTAAGTTTGGCGCCGAGGAGAGAAAAACATCGACCTGTCACTGTAGCGAGTGTGAATGGAAGGCTGTGATCTGGGAGCCTGAGGAGCAGAACCGTCTCGGAAAATCAGTCCACCGAGCTCAGCGCGCGACCGGAGAGCGAGATGCGCACGGAGGCTTAAGCGCGCTCTCATTCTGAAGATTTTGGGACAAAAAAACAAGAGAAAAAACCGTCAAAATGAAAACGTAAGTCGCAGTTCTCGCGGATTTAAATGTCTCTCGCGGAGGCGCGCAGCCTCGCTCCTTCTCTCCCGTTTCCGACCAATTTTGGCTAAAAAAAAAAAGAAAAATAATATCTCTACATATCGTTGAGGTTGAGGAGAATCGGCTAGAGAGCGAGCGCTGAAGGAGAAGGGCTAGTTGAAGCAATATGGCTGATGGCCGGGGTTGGGGGCGCTGGCAGCAGCTCTCCAGAGCTTCTTCATGCTAGCTGTGGCAGATGGCAACGTTTCCTATGGCAGCAGCGGCTCTAGAATGAGTAATAATATCAACTACAACAAAAACCCGGACTCCTCTGTCTCTATATCCAAGATGGACGTGATCATCCCGTTTTCACCAGACGTACCGTGTGACAACAATGGTCAGCGCATGTGGTGGGCTTTCCTCGCGTCCTCCATGGTGACGTTCTTCGGGGGTCTCTTCATCATCCTCCTGTGGAGGACCCTCAAGTACCTGTGGACCGTCTGCTGCCACTGTAACATCAAAAATAAGGTAACTAAGCCTCGGATGTTGGGCTTGTAGGCTCTACACTGTGAAAGCCTGGACCAGATCTTCTCTAGAACACTTGTTTGTCAGCTGCGTATGAGAACACTTTCATTCATACTGGTCATGTTGGTAGAGGAGGCAAAATAACAGCATAACAGCGAGGCCTTTTGCCTAAAAGCATCATGCGTCCATTTGTAGGTATTGTAGGTATGCTTGGATGAGCCACTGCTGATCAGCTTCATCCTTTAGGCCTGGGGTTTTGATTTAGTGAGGCTTGGTGCTACTATAAGAAATGTCTCTGTAGACATTTCTTGAAAACACTGATCCTTTTCAGTGCATCAGAAGGTCTGATCAGTGTGGGACAGATTTTGAAGAGGGATGTGGAACTGTACGCATAAATAAATAAGTTTTGGTAATAGTTTGTCATCCACAAGGCAGTTGCAGTGGCAGAATGCTGTTTGTGTACTTCTGTGTATTATGTGTATAAGTAAGAGTGATGTGGAATTGTGCCCACCATATGGCACAACGGAGGAATTACAATGCAGTATTTACACAAATTTCAGGGAATGTTGGGACGGCTTGTGTTCAAAAACCATATTTCAGAGGGCTGCTGTGTTGACCTACATACATAAGAACATAGGAAAGACAAATGATTTAAGTGGGCTGGGGCTCCACCTCCTCTTTTTTACGTATTACGTAGGCTGTGTTTATGGAATTCCCCTTATATGTGATGTATGACGTTCAAGCATTTTTAATAAAAAAAAAGAAAAAGATAAAGGCCCCTTGGTAAGGTCACGCTGTCAGAGTCAGCGGTGGGAAAAGCCGTGATGTGCTGCATGTAAGGGTGCTTCACTCACACGCGCTGTGCTCCTGCATAATGACGTAGAGTCATCTCAGCAGCAGGCTGCAAACAGCACATCATCATGTAGGCTGCAGTCGTATAGGGATTCACACAGCTGTTGCCTTCAGTACAAGTGATCAGTCGTCTGAGTGCGTCTTGCGACATGTAATCTGCAGAGGAAAACAGGCCTGATTTTGGAAGCAATTTTATTTTCTCCGTTTTTCACTCCTTCATTCATTTATTTTGGTGATGTGCTAGTTTTAACTCTTTAGAATGATTAGAAACATTGGAATAAAATGGCTTAAAGGGGAATCCCACAGATGTTTTCTAAATTTCTGCGTAATTACAGATGTAAACAAAGATTGAGATGTAAACAAAGTCATTCAGAGTGGTTTGATGTGAAGTGCTTCGTTCTAAAGAAACTTTCCATGTCAGTATTGTTTACAGTGGTGGTGATAGGAACCGGACGTCTGATGAGGTTAATGCTGCTGAAAGCTTCTTCACAGTGTTATATTTTTAAAACTCATTCATGGTGGAGAGGTATATACAGGCTGCTATACAGTAAAATAGCTCACCAAAGAGAACTTAATTTTTCATTAGAAAACCATTTTACCGTTATCAACATTACATATAAAAACTAAGAAGTCATGTGCAGGGTCGGTAGTTTAGGATGGGAAATAAAATGGCTATGTTTACGTTGTAGATACTGTGAGCCCTGGTTCTTATCAGTAAGTTTCTCTACAATTAATCATTTCCTTATCAAATCAGTGACTTTTCTCACATCTCAAAGACTGAGTTGTGCAGAAATCTGTGGAATTCCTTTTTTGTAACTGGATTTTTTTTTCTGGATCCTGTGAAAATGGAAAGTGTAAAAAAATAGAATTGTACTATTTTTTGCCAGGTTTAATATCAGCAGAATTATGAGGGATTTGATCAAACAAAAGCAAACAAGGCACGATTTATTCCCATGAGTAAGGCCTGGATTCAAACATCCAAATTCAAATACAGCTTTATCCTCATTTACATCTGGTGTCTACAAAAGCGGCCTGGCAATCTTTCAAAGCTTAAGAAGCTTGTTGTTAGCAGCTCTGTGCATGGCTAATAGACTTCTTTTCCCTGAAATGAAGTTTAAAAATACATGGAGAAGTTATAATGCTCTGTCATTATACTTCAATCGAGTCGTTCTCTTGCATTCAGGTAGCAGAGTGCCGGACTTGTTATTTATTTAAATGAAAAGGGTTAATGACGTCTGTGAAGTCTCCAGTCTTCATTACCTTTTAATTACCTACATGAACAAGCGTTCCAACAGAGCAAGCAGCCCATCCGAAACTGACACCCGTGCCTGAGCCTCTTCAGATGGAAGTTGTTAAAATACAATCAGGCCGCGCGTCTGTATCGTTTGCAATCGAGAACACTTGGATTAAAAACCTTCCATCACTTTGCCAGGCTTATTGAGGAGTCAGATCCGTCTTACAAATGCAAATGACACATTTCATTCAGTTTGTAATTTGGCTGTGCTATCGCTGGATAATTGTGGAGTTTGATGGAAATCCACGGCTGGGTCATTAAGAATGCAAGCCATGTCTAAACGGATCCAGTTTCCAGGAAGACATGAAAATGGTGGTGAGGAGGATAATCGCAGGTGCTGGTGTGTTTCCTGGAGGAAGGAGATTCTGGCAGGGTGACTTTGTGCCAAGGCTTTGACACTTGGGTGCAGGGGGACCGTGCTTGTTAGGAGCATTAGGAGGCTGAAATGCGATCTGCAGCGCAGCTGAATGTGGGGGGGGGGCTTTCTTGGCATGGCGCTAGTAATGGCAGGCAGGCTGCTGGAGGCATCTACTGCTCAGACGAGTAGAGAGACAGATCCTCTGGCATGTCCTCATCATAACTTTGCTACATTTGTCACATAGCACCAACCATGCTGAAACAAATGCTACTGCATGCGCACGACTCTCATGAATTAATCAAGGTGCAGCATAAAACTCAGATTGGTCTGGGCCTGTTGCATTTCCTGGGACTTGATGTACTGCAACATCTGGATGTTTAATATTTTTTTTTTCCACATTCATGTGCAATATGGCGGGCACAGTGACTTACCATTTGCTTAACATCCTCTAGGTCATTCACTTCAGTGGAATACACTGATAAAAAGGATTCATTAAATTTGCTTAATTCGAAAGTGTACACAGTTTTCAGGATGGATTACTGACTGCACTACTGGGGCAAGTGCCCAGGGGCCTTTGACTGGCAGGGGTCGTTGGGGACCTTAGACTACAAGGCTTGAGGTGGCCCAAATACTTGGGACCATCCACTGTAGGTGTGAACATTAGATAAATGAATAGGTACAAATGACCAAATAAGTGAAGAATGTGTTCTTAGGCCTTGAAAGTTTTATGTTATTATTGGCTCATGGGATCTTATAGATGGAGTCTAGTAGTAGTTATAGTATTTACCATTTTATTACTCAGTTAGGGTGGACAGAAGAGGAAAAATATTCAAATCTTACACAAAAAGGGCCATGTACAGCAAGTAATCCATGCCTGGTCATTTCCACACAAATAAAACATGTTTTATGTTTGATTTTTCAGTTTACTAGTCCTGGCAATGACTGTGTTGATATGTTTTATTCATACACTTTCCTCAATGAATGTGTGTAAGGCAAAGCATCTCCAATCACTGGGGTACAGAAAAACCGTAAAACTTAATCGACAAATTAAGCAAGAATGAAATGCTTCTGAGACTTATAAGAGCAAAGCACACACACAAAATACATACAAATACTTGGATTGTATGTGAAATGCAACTAAAAACAGAAAGCATTGATTTGTCAATGCACTTTGACCTGTATTTAAACAAAAACTGTAGAAAGACAAAATATTTAATGCTTTATCTTTTTGGCTGTTTTTGGTAAATAAACTCATTCTAAAATTGAATGAACATGCAATGCACTCTAGAGGACAGGAGCAACTTAAGACTAAGAACATTGTTAAATGTTCAGAAAACATTTTAAAAGAGGTGATGCAATCATGGTTGGGCATAAAAAGAGCATCCAGGCGAGGCCTAGTCCTTTATAAACAAAGATGGTTCAAGGTTCACCACTCTGCAAAGAATGCATCAGCAAATAGTCCAACTGTTTCAAAACATTCCTCTATGAGCATTTGCAAGGATTTTTAGGTATTTCACCCTCTACATATGCATAACATTATCAAAAGATTCAGGGAATCTGCAAAAAGCAAGGCCAAATAACACAACTGAATGCCTGTGGCCTTCAATCTCTCAGATGGCACTGCATTAAAAACCAGTATGCTGCTGTCATGGATATCACCTTGACAAACTGTTGTCAATAAACACTGTCGCTGCATCCATAAATGGTTAAGACTGTACTATGCACAGTGGAAACATGTACTGTGTCCTGACGAGTCAGTCTTTCAGATTATTTACGGAAATGATGGATGTCATGTTATCTAGTCCAAACTAGAAAGAGACCATCCAGACTGTTACCAGTGTAAAGTTCAAAAGCTAATATCAGTAATGGTATGGGGGTGTAATCATGCCCATACCATGGGTAACTTGCACCAAAAATGTTTTGGAGCAGCATATGCTGCCTCTTAGGCACCATCTTTTTCAGAAGCAACCATGCTTATTTCAATTTGACAAAAGTAAGAAACTTTCTGTATGTGTTACAACAGCGTGGGTGCTAGACTGGCCTGCCTGTGTTCTATAGAAAACCTGTGCTGCAATATGAAGTGCAAAATATGCCGACAAAGGCCCCTTATGCTTGCGCAGCTGAAGACATGTTTAACTGAAGAATGGCAAAAAATTCCACCTTTAAAACTGGATCAAGTAGTGTTTTGAGTTCCCGAACGTTTATTAATTCCTTAAGTGCTGTTAAAAGGAAAGATGATGTAGCACAGTGGTAAACATGGCCCTGTCCCAACTTTTTTGGAAGGTGTTGCAGACGTCATACTTGGAATGAGCATATATTGTTTTTACCTTATGAAAAAACAAAGGTCAAACAGAATTTACTGATCACTGCTTTCTCTTTGACAATGACAGATTATCTTGCCAACAGTTATTACTTGTAAGTTGTCTAAAAGGGAGAAAAAAATCCACATGTACAATATTGATTTTTTAGCCCCAAGTTAATTCCATCTTGTTCTGCTCT